CAGCGGTTTGACAGCTAAGGGCCTGGCGGCTGTCTCTCCACCAGGGGTTTTGTCATGTAGTGCTCTGCACCGCGACATCCTACGTGTAACGTGATGGCCGCCTATCCTGACTTGCCCGTCCTCTCCCTGTATCGGTGTATGTCTTGTCAGATATGCCCCCCCCCCCCCCCGCTGACTGAAAGTGGCCCCAGATATTTATACGCCTTAAAATCCCAGCCACCATGCCCCCTAATAACATGCCCCACCCCCACCCACCCACTCTCACATGCCCTCCATGCGCCGCGCCTCCATTCACCCCGTGTCTGACGCGTGCCCCGTGCGCGCTGGCCGGCAGGACTGCGCGCACGTGAGCCGCACGTGCGAGGAGTTCTACACGGTGCGCTGCCAGGTGGCCGACATGCGCAACTTGTACGAGTCGCTGGACGAGGTGACCGTCAAGGACACGCTGGACGGCGACAACATGTACACGTGCTCGCAGTGTCAGAAGAAGGTCCGCGCCGAGAAGCGGTCAGTGGCCGGAGGGTCGGTCGGACGGCCGGCCGGCTGGCTGGTGTACCGCGCGTGACGGGAGTCGAGGGCCCGGTTTGGGTCAGGCGGAGGGTTGGCAGTGGCGTTGACGTTGTGGGCACGGGTGAGAATGGCCGGTATAAAAATAGTCATGGGCTGCAGCTCGGCGTATTCGTGCTGTTCACTACCGGAGGCGTGTCAGGTGGGAAGTAATGGAGGATTGTCATGATAAGTGATTCACGATTCATCATCGCAGCGTGACCTCCCAGGTGATTCAGGGAGGCCACCGCTTTGCCACCAACGGTAGCATTGCTGGGACATCCAGTTCGTCATTCTCACAGAGACAAAGCGTCCACCTTGGCACGTGCTGCCCGAAGAGCGCTGTTGGACTGCGGTAGGGGAATGCAACGTGAGGCTGTGTTCTCGAACCGTCTTCATCGTACCTCATGCCGGCTGACCTCACCTCGCTGCGGATTTCAGCGCGTGCTTCAAGCGCCTGCCGCACATCCTGTGCTTCAACACGATGCGCTACACGTTCAACATGAACACGATGATGCGCGAGAAGGTGAACACGCTGTTCTCCTTCCCGCTACACCTGGACATGTCCGGCTATCGGGAGCGTAACCTGATGCCCACCAAATGCGAGGACGGTGAGTGGCGCAGTTACTGGCTCGAAGGGAGGCCTGGTGTGCGGCAGGGAGGCCTGGTGTGCAGCAGGGAGGCTTGGTGTGCAGCAGGGAGGCCTGGTGTACAGCAGGGAGGCCTGGTGTACAGCAGGGAGGCTTGGTGTGCAGCAGGGAGGCTTGGTGTGCAGCAGGAGTGCCTGGTGTGCAGCAGGGAGGCCTGGTGTACAGCAGGGAGGCTTGGTGTGCAGCGGGGAGGCTTGGTGTGCAGCAGGGAGGCCTGGTGTGCAGCAGGGAGGCTTGGTGTGCAGCCGGAGTGCCTGGTGTACAGCAGGGAGGCCTGGTGTGCAACAAGAGTGCCCGGTGCGCAGCAGGGAGGTCTGGTGTGCAGCAGGGAGGCCTGGTGCGCAGCGGGGAGGCCTCGTGGGCAGCGGGGAGGCTTGGTGTGCGGCAGGGAGGCCTGGTGTGCCGCAGGAAGGTTTGGTGTGCAGCAGGGAGGCTTGGTGTGCAGCAGAGAGGCCTGGTGTGCAGCAAGAGTGCCTGGTGCGCACCAGGGAGGTCTGGTGTGCAGCAGAGGCCTGGTGTGCAGCAGGGAGGTCTGGTGCGCAGCAGGGAGGTCCGGTGTGCAGCCGAGAGGACTGGTGTGCAGCAGGAATGTCTGGTGTGCGGCAAGAAGGTCTGGTGTGCAGCGGGGAGGCCTCGTGGGCAGCGGGGAGGCCTGGTGTGCAGCAGGGAGGCCTGGCACGCAGCGGGGAGGCCTCGTGGGCAGCGGGGAGGCCTCATGTGCAGCAGGAGTGCCTGGTGTGCGGCAGAGGGGCCTGGTGTGCAGCAGGAAGATGGGCTGCAGCCACGGTCACACGCATGTTCATGCACGTATTGATGTAGCTATTCGCTTGTATGTGCACCGAAACTGAAACGAGAGACGCTGGTCCGGTCGGGTCTGGAAGTGACTGTTAACAGGGTATTGGACTCCGAACAGGGTCCATGACGTCCACTCTTTGAGAAGTTGTATTCGTCGACCGCTTGCCACGTGCCTCGAGGCCGAACCTATTCCTCGGCTTCGAGCTTGTGTGGGAAGCGCGAAGGCACGCGTCGGCAAGGCTGCAGCGGAGGAGGCCACGCGGGGCTGGCGCCGACACCTGACACCGCGGCGTGTCACGCGGCCTCGTTAGCAGAACCTCCGTGTCAGATAGCTGTCGCATCGCGTGGCACACGCCTGACACGCTGCCGGCTGGCACACCGTCCGCACGGCGCGCGTCACCCGCTGATGTGACACAACGAACACTGGCACAGCACACTAACACTGACACACACGCCGACAGAACGCGTCGACGCAACACGCTAGCATTGCCGCAACTGACGCTGACACTGTGACACAACACAGCTGCTGTGTCGTGATAGCTGTGGGCCGGCGCGCAGGCGAGGCGACGTTGACGCGACTGACACGGACACTGTGACACAACGCAGCGGCTGTGCCGTGACAGCTGTGCGCCGGCGCGCAGGCGAGGCGACGTTGACACGACTGACACTGACACTGTGACACGACACAGCTGCTGTGTCGTGACAGCTGTGGGCCGGTGCGCAGGCGAGGCGGACGCGGAGCTGGCGCCGTGCCAGTACGACCTGATTGGCGTAACCGTGCACACCGGCACGGCGGACGGCGGCCACTACTACTCGTTCATCCGCGACCGCACCAGCGCGTCGCGCAACAGCTGGCTCTTCTTCAACGACGCCGAGGTCAAGCCGTTCGACCCGAGTCAGCTGGCCGGCGAGTGCTTCGGCGGCGAGATGACGGTACGGCTGGCGGCCCGCGCGCGAGGAGACAGGGAGGGGGGCTCCGGCGGCGAGATGGCGGTACGGCTGGCGACCGGTGCGTGGGGAGACAGGGGGGGGGGGGGGCGCTCCGTTTGGTGTCAGGTCTAGGGCAAGCCGAGATCTGGGCGGAGAGGTGGAGCAGCAAGGGACAGCGGCGTCCTCCGTTTGGGGGGGGGGGGCAGCTCCCTCCGCAAGGGACAGCGGCCTTCTGGTCTGCGTCAGCGGCTGAACCGGGTCGGTCTTGTGTTTCATGGTTAAATATTTGGTAGTGTATGCTGTGGCTGCCTTTCTGGAATTTCGTGTGCGATAAATCATATGTTGTGTGGTATATCTGAAGGCCTCACACTGAAAATGTATTCGTATTCATCCACCACGTGGGTATTCCCTGTTGCGAAATTGTGACGATTCCGCGGCATTCGTGCCATGCAGTAGGCCTCCATGCGTGCTCGCGTGATTTCAGAGCAAAACGTACGACTCGATCACGGATAAGTTCCTGGACTTCAGCTTTGAGAAGACCAACTCAGCGTACATGCTGTTCTACGAGCGGTGCGTGGAGGCGCCCGAACAGGGCGGGTCCAAGGTGCGTACCGCGAACTTTGCATAACGGTGTATGAAGCCGCACTCACCGAATATTTCTGAGACGAACTTGATAAAGGGGGATTTGTATGTCCGAGAAAATGTATGGGAAGCACCAGGCTGGGGGGGCTGCCGTGAAGGCTGTCTGCCAGTGAGACGAGCGCTGGCCCCGTGGCCGGTCCAACCGGCCTCCCCCCGCGCCGGGACTTGAGCAGCCCGCTGTTGCCAGAGTCAGCCGGGGGCCTGCGACCCGGGCCGGTCGACCCGTGACCCGCGAGCCCCCGAGGGGCCGCCATAGTCAGCTGACGACGCGCCCTGCCCAGCAGCCGGTGACGGCGGACGCGGCCGACCTGGCCCGCCCGCACCTCAGCCCGCTGGACCTGCCCACGTTCGAGCTCAGCGCCGAGCTGGAGGACTGGATCTGGAAGGACAACATGGAGTTTCTCAGGGACAAGAGTATGTTCGACCACACGTTCTTCAAGTAAGATGGAAGAGGCCCAGTTTGTTGAGGTTCGATTGGTGTCTGGGTATCTGAATGGAAATAGGCTGCGAAGAATGAAGCAGTGGAGCTGCGTGAGCTCCAAGGCATATGTAATGGCACAATTAAGCTGTGAACTCCAAGACATATGTATATATGCCACCATAAATATTATCCTTACGTTTCCAACAATTTGCCATGCAAACGGTAAATCTGGGGTAGCGACGCTCTTGCTCGTTGGAAACGTTTGTGCTGTTTGTCTCTATTTTTCCGTCATGATGTGCTATTTTGGGCCATTAGGAAGCCAGAGCAACGCCGTGACCCCTGCGGACTTTCGCATTGACTCCCACCGTACAGCAGCTGTGCTAACACCGGCATTTCTCACAAAAGCGCGGCACTTCTGCGTCGCGCCGGGAAACCCTGCTGACCCGGCGGATCGTTCCTGACGCGGCCGCTGCTGTCGCTCCTGCTGACGCGGCCGCTCCTGTCGCTCCTGCTGACCCGGCCGCTCCTGTCGCTCCTGCTGACCCGGCCGCTCCTGTCGCTCCTGCTGACCCAGTCGCTCCTGTCGCTCCTGCTGACGCAGCCCCTGTCGCTCCTGCGGACGCGGCCGCTCCTGCCGCTCCTGCCAACCCGGCCGCTCCTGTCGCTCCTGCTGACGCGGCCGCTCCTGTCGCCCCTGCTGACGCGATCGCTCCTGCTGACCCGGCCGCTCCTGTCGCTCCTGCTGACGCGATCGCTCCTGTCGCTCCGCAGCTTCATGTGGCAGGTGTGCGGCTACATCCCGCAGACGCTCAGTCGCACCGAGGCGGTGACGCTGCGTGCCGCCCGGCTCTCCACCACGTTTTTCCTCGAGATCTTCATCCACGCCAAGGAGAAGCCCACCATGGTGCAGTGGGTAGAGCTGCTCACCAAACAGTTCAACGCCTCGCAGGTAGTCAACGTGTTCTCACTTACTCTGCTCAGTGGGCATGTCATTCTGCAGCGTAACGCTGGGATGCTGCGTTTGCGGATGTTGGTCTGATCAGAGGCCACGAAATAAGCATTTCGACGCCTTCTGCTGATGCCTGTGATCCTGTTTTGTCAAAGTGCGTATAATTCGCTAGTACACCGGATATTTTTGATGCACATTTGCTGTCATCGCGTCACATAAGGCATCGCACGCGCCGACACGTCAACCTGGCTGCACCGCCGTGTGGTTCCCACTGAGCGCGTCGGAGCGGCGGAGGTGACTCTGCCCCGGGCCGACAGGCGGCGTGCGAGTGGTTCCTGGATCACATGGCCACGGACGAGTGGTGGCCCATCCAGATCCTGATCAAGTGCCCCAACCAGATGGTGCGTCAGATGTTTCAGCGACTCTGCATCCACGTGGTGCAGAAGCTCAGGTACGTCTCGCTCGGCGGTCGGGGTTATATGCAGCTACTGCGCGGGGCGGCGCTCAGCGCTTTCCCGGTAGCGCCGGTGCGGGGCCTGGTTGAGCCGGATTGAGCAGGGGCTGGTCGGCAGAGGCTCTGTCGGTGTCGGCGGTCTTGGCAGCTGTCGTTGTCAGCAACTGTGGCAGCTGTTATGGCTGACACCAGTGCAAGGACGGGTAGTGATGTCAGCGACTGTGAGCAGCTGTTGTGGCTGACACCAATGCAAGGACGGGTGGCGATATCAGCAGCTGTTGTAGCAGCTGTTGTGACTAACAATAGGACAAGGATGGGTGGCGATGCCAGCGACTGTGTTGGTTGCGTCGGCGCTGACACCTATACCCCACCCCTCCTATCCTGAGGGGTCTGCGGTGTACATGTCGTACCGTGCCGTTCAGATGCGTCACGTTCTCTCAGACACGAGGAGACAGCGCCTGAATCCTGCAGGCCTGCGTGCCTGTCCCGCCCCTCCCCGCCCCGCCCCGCCCCGTTGTCTGACCGCGGGTCGTACCCGCAGGCCGGTGCACAGCTGCCGGTACCTGCAGCCGGCCGAGGGCGAGGCGCGGCCGCGCGAGCTCGGACAATCCTCCTGCGTCACCCGCTTCGTGCGCAAGCTCGTCTCGCTGGTCAGTGGTCGCCGCACTGGCCTTGGCGCCGCCGGAGGCGCCGGCGATAGCGTCCCTGCCAGCGATGGGACGTCGTGTTGCGACGCTGTACTGACTGCTGAGTTCGAGTGTACTTACTCTTGCTCTCGCTTCTTTGCCGTCTGACCGATTACTGTGATTGCTCTCGCTTCTTTGCCGTCTAACCGATTGCTGTGAGCTCGACGATGTTATTGATGTTATTGATATTGATATTCTTGTTGCCGTGGGTGACCATTACAGCAGGTATGTGCCTCGTTGCCGTTGTTTTGGTATACATCAGCATTTGCGACCGTGACGTGTTCACTCAAGTCCCCAGGATGGGCCCTGAGTAGGATATCAAGATCACAGTGCCAGTGTTTTGCACTGTTTCGCAGATGGAGCACGGCGCCAAGTCGCATCTTCGCAACCTCACCGAATACTTCGCGTTCCTCTTCGAGTTCGGCAAGATGGGCGACACGGAGATCAAGTTCCTGCTGGCCACCGAATGCATTACCACCATGGTCAACTTTTACCTGAGTCAAATACCGGAAAACGTGAGCTGCGAACGGCGTCGGATGTTTTGTTTCGCATTTTCGGCTGAAAATGAAATGCGTGGTTTGGAGGTGTATCGGATAGAAATTGTTCATATGCTGACATCTCTTTGTCTCACTTGATGATGATTGGAGTTTTAGGGCGCACCGACTTCCGGTCTTTTTGCGCCCATCTCTGTCTTACGAAAAATTTGGCACCAATATTAGTTTCACGGTTTCAATCCACCAGTGTTTTACGGTCGTACATAAAACGTGCCATGGATTTCGTTGAACTCATTTTTAATGTGTTACGCGATCAAGGTAATGACGTGGTTATATTAAATGCATGCATGCGTGCATGCATGCTTGCTTGATTGTACCATCGTATAATGGGTGTCATATTGGAAGCAGTGCGTTCTGTACTGGAGAGGCCTGTACGGAGTGATGGTGTTCCGCTTTCCCGGCTAGGTTCGTCGGCAGTGTCTATCATGGCCGCTATCTCCCATCCGCGCCAGTGGGAATCGAACGTCAACACCGCGCTTCCCAATGCTTTTATCTGTCCGTGCCGGCGTGTCCTGCCGCGGTAGCCGACCCGAGTCGACGTGCGAAGCTAGTGGCGTCAACGCCCCCGCACGCTCACCGTCCTTCAGTCGGACCTAAGCGACGCGGCCGGGATACAGCCACGCCCCGGTACTCGGCACCTCTCTGGGGCCGAGCTGGGCGCGTGGCCGCGTGCGCCTGCGCGGCCGGCGCCCGCCCGCGCGCTGCCGGGACCGACTCGCGCTCCGTCCGTGCAGCAGGCGGACGAGGTGTCGGACGAGGACGACGAGGAGGGCGAGGCCGGTCCCGTCCGGCCGGCCGACAAGTTCCGGCCGGCCAGCCTCGAGAAGATGATCAGCCTGGTGGCGCTGCTGGTGGAGAAGTCGCGCGCCGACGACCAGCGGCTGGCGCTCTCCGCCTCGGACCTGGCAGCCGTGGCCGGTGCGTCAGCAGCCGGCCAGCGCCGCAATGTCCTGCGGAGATGGCGGGTGTTGTCTAGTGGTGCTCGCCGCCGCTGGAGGCCCATGCTTTCCGTCATATCTAGCGGCTGGCGGCGCATCTTCAGAAAGTGATTTTGTCTGTTCGACTGGCTGAAACACTTTGCTTTATAGTTAAGACACGGTGTGATGACGATGCGATTACTCTACGCTGGGTTCGGGGTGAACGAAAATCGCCGAAGTGTTCTTCCTCCACGCGTCGTTACTTTGCCATGTCATACCCATCACCGGCCCACGCCCGCTGCCAACACGTGTCTTGTTTCCCGTCTCCGGCCAGCCAGGTCGCTTCGTCTCTAGATGGGATTGTAATCTAGCATTGGTGGAATTCAGTGGCACAAGATAATCAAGCTGCCAACATCGTCCCATAAGACCAGCGGGGTCGGTCTCCCTGACCACCCACCCGCACTCGCTTACCACCGAACAGTTCTCACTCGCCGAGCGGGGGGCGAGACGGGCGGGCCGGGCTGTCCTGGAGTGCGAATCCCCGGTTAACTGACGCACCTCCGCCGGCAGGTGGCAAGGGCTTTCCATTCCTGTACCACCAGATCAAGGACGGCCTGAACGTGCGCGCCACGTGCGGCCTGGTGTCGGCGCTGTGCCGCTGGAACGAGCGGCTGGCTGTGCTCGTGGTCGGCATGATCTTCCAGGCTGTCATCAAACACCAGGAGGTGGGCGGCGGCCGGCGGGGCGCCACCCACACGGCGGTCCGCCGGGGAAGGGGGGGGGGGAGGCGGCGACGCACGCCGGGCAGGGCGGAGCGGCGTTGTGAGGGGAGAGTTGCTGCTGGGGTGTTTGTTGGTTCTTTATCGTTTGGTGGTGATCGGGGGCTGTCATTGTAAGCGAACTTCGACGGAGTCGAGACGTTCTTGTGATGCTGTCCTTGCGCGGCCATCAAACGTTTGCCGAGCTGCTATGCATGTGGCGAAACTTTTTTGGCAAAAATTTCATGTCCATGATGGTGAATCCAACGAATGGTTGTGACGATAGCTGCTGTCCATCCTCACTTGTTCCGGGCTTTGGCTCGTTTCGGCCTGTTGTGTTCAGTCTCCCATCCCACCAGTGAGCTTGTGACTTTGATCATCTCAAAACTGACCTTTAGTAACACGAGATTACCTGAGGTCAGCCAAAGCGATCCGTGCTCCGGGCCTGCCGCGAAGGCTGCTGGCCTGGCCTGACCTGACCTGACCTGACCTGACCTGACCTGACCTGACCTGACTCTCCCTGTGGCAGGCGTGCCAGCCGTTCTTCCGGCTCCTCTCGCTACTGGTGGAGGGCGACGGCGCCGGCGGCGGTGCGGCCGGCGCCGGCGGCACCGGCACTGGCGGCACTGGCGGCACCGGCGGCGGCGGCGGCGGCGGCCTGCCCTGCTTCACCCAGCTGGCGCTGCAGCACATCTGGGAGGTGGCCGAGTTCTGCCCGCAGGCGGTGCTCGAGTGGCTGGCCGGCCAGGTGCCGCGCAACAAGCTGGCTCACTCGTGGGTGCTGCAGAACCTGGACAACTGGTGCGAACATTTCCTGCTGGCGCACGGCCAGTTCCGCGTCCGCGCATGTGAGTTACCCTCCGCCCATCCCCCCTCCCCGGAGGATGGGGCCAAGGAAGTCCGAGTCGTTGCCTGACTAGAGCTGGCTAGAGGTGGCGAACCGCTGCAGGACTCTCGCTGGTTTGTTTCTATGCGCTGCTTTGTATGTGTCAAGGTCACGGGATCAACCCTATAGATTGATGACTTGGGAAGACGCGACCGTACCACGGCTGAGACCTGGCGTCGCAGGCGGCCTCTTCGCTATGGTCTCGCCGCTCACCGCTCGAAGCGGGCGTCCGCCGTCGGGCCGCCGCCCCTCCCCGCCGTCAGCGCGCAGTCTGACCGGAGCGGCGCGCGCTGCCCCGTTGCAGCGGCGAGCCTGCTGCTGGTGGGTCTGGTGCCGTCCTCCCAGTTCCGGCACCTGTTCACGCAGCGCCAGCGCCAGAGCTCGGCCGAGCTGCCGCTGGCGGCCGACGCGCTCGCCGTGCTGCACCAGGTGAGCGGACGCCGGCGTCGCCGTCACGGCGGCGGCGGCGGCGGGCGCCCCGGCCGGCGTGCTGGCGGTGGGTGTCGCTGATCTGCTGCTGAGGCGACCGGCTGCTGTTGATCGGTGGTGACCTCTGTTTGTCACTCAAGTGGCCAGACGCGTGCCTCGGCTCCATTGTCGCCTGTCACCCGCGTCCGGCCTCGGCTCGGCGGCACCGTTGGACTGCGGCTGCTGTTGACTGCGGACTGCTGCTGACTGCGGACTGCGGCTTTTCAGCCTTGACCCGGGCCTGTGCTTGGTACCTCGGTGTGTGTCCCTTCTGCGGTGCTCTTGCGTCGACCGCTGCGCTGATCAGTCGCGGCCTGAGTCATTCGCGCCTCAGGCGTACCGCTGTCCCTGCTGCGTCGGTGCTGGCGGATGACGCACTGACCCGTGTCTGCGCGCCTCAGGTGTACCGCTGCCTGCTGCGGCTGCTGAAGCCTGCCCGTGTCTACACGGACGTCCAGCTGCACGGCAACATGAAGCTGGTGCAGTACTTCCAGCTGATGCAACACTGTGTCGTCTCCCGGGCCGAGAAGCTCATGGTCAGTCCGGCCGGCCCGCAGCTCAGTCCTCTGGGGGAAGGGGAGGAGGGAGGGGGCTCAGTCCGACCGGCCCCGCGCCTGCCTCCGCGGGCCTCAGCGTACTGTCCGTACTCCCGTCTCTCACGCGGCACACTGCCGTCGTGGGCGCGTTGTCGAAGTTTGGGATTTGAATTTGGGGTGCTGTGCCTTATGCTCACAGGCCTATGCATGTTCGTATGATATCGTGCGATTTCTGTTGTACGCAAGGTCACGTTTAAGTGCGAGAAATGTGATTGAAGCTCATCCCCTCTATTGGGAACTATCATCGGCATGCGCTGGGCCCGGAGAGGCCGCCGGTGCTCCCTGGTATCAACACACACCGGTGTGACGCCGACGCGGGGGGGGGGGGGGGGTGGCGTCAGTTTGAGGCGTGTCCGACGTTTGAGCGGTGTCCTGTGCCCGCGCCGCTGCAGTTCAGCCCGTACACGGCGGACCTGTGGACACTGTTCCACCCGAAGCTGTCGGAGCCGTCCATAGCGGCGCACCACAACAAGCAGGCGCTGCTCATGTTCTGGTGCACGGTCTGCATCGACTGCGCCGAAAACGTGCAGCTCATCGTCACCAACCCGCACATCACCAAAAACATCGGCTTCAACTACATCCTGTGAGTCGCCGGGCGCGTGCTCGGCGCTGGCGAGCAGCCGCCCTGGCCACGTCAGGGTCGGGCTGTTGGTGACTCAGGTGCAGCGCTCCTGCGCTCGTGTTTAATGTGGTGTGCTGTGCCGCTGTTCACCGTTCCTGAGCAGGCGACGCGTCCAGACATGAACCGTGAGTCGGGAAAGCCTAGACATGCTCACCGATAGGCGTGGCTGTGGTCAATCGACTTCGTCAGCTCCGTCTGTGACGCTCGCTTCCGTTCTGTGATATATTTGTATTGTTTTTTATCCATGCTGCTATTGCATTCATTTCTATTCATCCCCATTTGTTATAATTTTGCCTTCATGCATTTGTTTTCATTCCTTTCCAGCCATTGGCATTTATTGGTATTCATTGCTTCGTTTATTGGTTCTTCATTCATTCCCATTCATTCTTCATCCATTTGTTTTTCATTCGTTCATCCATTTACTTTCATTCACACTGAAGTTTAATCCGATTCATCCAGTACCTATTTAATGTATTGCCTAATTTTCCTCTCGTCTTGTATTTTCTCATTCAGTTTTCATTAATTTCTCTTCCCATTAATTCGCCAACGGTTGGCCGGTGCCGAGCTCCTCGTAAACGTCCGCGGCATCGCCCGTCACCACCACCATCACCATCACCACCTCCTGGTGCCGCGATTCCAGGGCGGACCACGACGACGACCAGGTGGTGCTGTTCAACCGGAGCACGCTGCCGGCCTACTACGGCCTGCTGCGGTTGTGCTGCTCCCAGTCGCGTGCCTTCACCCGCCAGCTGGCCAACCACCAGAACCTGCAGTGGGCCTTCAAGAACATCACGCCCTACCCGGCCCAGTACAGCGCGGTCAGTCGACAGCGGCCGGCTGCCTCGCCGTGCGCACGTGCGCGGCTCAGGCGCCGTCCTTTCGACCGGCCGACGTCCCACCCCCACCCCCCACCCGCCGATAGCCGGGGTGGGGGTGGACGGTGGTGTATGTGTTGTGGGGGGGGGGGGAGGGGGTTACCGCCTCTCGGACTGGGGCACCGCGATGGCCGTGCGGTGTCGCGCAAAGGCGGTCGTGTCGTCTCGTCACATGGTGACGGGGCCGGGAGCGGGCGTGGCGCCGCCGTGTCTCAGGGAACGGGTGTGGCGCCGCCGTGTCTCAGGGAGGGGGCGTGGCGCCGCCGTGTCTCAGGGGAGCGGGCGTGGCGCCGCCGCGTCTCGGGGGAGCGGGCGTGGCGCCGCCGTGTCTCGGTAGAGCGGGCGTGGCGCCGCCGTGTCTCAGGGGAGCGGGCGTGGCGCCGCCGCGTCTCGGGGGAGCGGGCGTGGCGCCGCCGTGTCTCGGGGGAACGGGTGTGGCGCCGCCGTGTCTCAGGGGAGCGGGCGTGGCGCCGCCGTGTCTCGGGTGAGCGGGCGTGGCGCCGCCGTGTCTCGGGGGAGCGGGCGTGGCGCCGCCGTGTCTCGGTGGAACGGGCGTGGCGCCGCCGTGTCTCGGTAGAGCGGGCGTGGCGCCGCCGTGTCTCGGGAGCGGGCGTGGCGCCGCCGTGTCTCGGTAGAGCGGGCGTGGCGCCGCCGTGTCCCGGTAAAGCGGGCGTGACGCCGCCGTGTCTCGGGGAAGGGGGCGTGGCGCCGCCGTGTCTCGGTAGAGGGGGCGTGACGCCGCCGTGTCTCGGGGAAGGGGGCGTGGCGCCGCCGTGTTTCGGTAAAGCGGGCGTGACGCCGCCGTGTCCGGCCTCTGCTCGACGTTAATCTACAAGCGTCTGTGAGCCCGTGTTGCGCCTCGGCACGACTGGACGCTGAGGACGCGCGTGCTGCGGTGCCGCAGGCGATGGACGAGCTGCTGAAGCTGATGTCGCTCTTCGTCATGGTCCACCCGGACACGACCGAGCAAGAGCTGCGTGAGATCGGCGCCTTCAAGCGCCAGACGCTGCAGATGTACCTACAGGTGAGGCTGCCACCGCTGAGTGTCCCCGTCCCCGGTCCCGAACTGTCGGACACTAAGCGACTGGGCTCCAGCGAACAGGCACATGAGCACCCGGGCGGCTCGCACCCACCCAGAGGATGAGGTCCTCCTGCGGCCAGGTCATCATCAGGCCGGCACCAGATGCCGGCGCGAGGGCTCCACCGGAGTCTGCCGCTGTCGTAGCTGGCTCCTGTATGGCCCGCTTCTGCTGGCGCCGCCTCTGTCGCCCCTGCCCCGCTCGCCCTCCCCCGGCTGGTGGCCGTGTCCGCCGTCTCCGCGCCGCCGCTCACCCCTCACCCCGGCCGCCGGCAGGTACTGGACGCCCGCTCCAGCTGGGCGACGCTGATCTCGGCGCTGAAGATCCTGGTGGACACACAGGAGGACAGGCTGTTCGTGGTGTACAACGGCGGCGTGTCTCTGCTGTGCGAGGCCACGCTGGCCCTGCACGTCATGTTCCACGAGGCCACGGCGTGCCATGTCACCGGCGAGATGACGGACCTGGTCCGCCTGCTGGCCGACACGCTCAGGTGCTGCAAGACCTTCCGCGACAACAAGGTGCGACGGCCGGGGCGGCGGCGCGCGACGCCAGGGGCTGGTCGTCGGCAGCGCCGACTGACGCCGCCGATGGCGTTGTAGGTGACCAGCGAGTTCGTTGTGGGCAATGGATGCGTCGTTCATGCGCTATAATGCTAGCGGCTGTAGACAGAGTAAAAGGCCGTCACAGAATTGGCTTCTTGTTGGCTGAACTCCAATGTTGTGGCGAGGGAGGTCCGTCTTGCCTGCGGACGTTCGCAGCGCCCTTGTGGCATCGGCGACGTGCTGCCATACGGCTGTAGCCGTGCTGACCCGCCGACGTCGTTGCGGTGGCAGGACGTGCGACACGCGCTGCTGAACTGCAAGGAGCGCCAGGAGGTGGTACGCAAGCTGGCCACGCTGCTCAACAGCTTCGCGCCGCCGGAGCTCCGGCTCGCCTGCATCGGTCAGTGGCTGGCTGCCGCACCGGGGCTCGCGACTGATGTCTCAGGGCTCGGGACTCATGTCCCAGGACTCGGGACTCATGTCCCAGGGCTCGCGACTGATGTCCCAGGCCCTGGGACTCATGTCCCAGGGCTCGGGCCTTATGTCTTAGGGCTGGCCACTGACAGCGGGTGTGACCTGGTTCAACGGGTCGGTGAGCTGCTCGAGCCAGTTTGTCAAATGAAGCGTGTACGTCGCTTTGAATACAGTCAAGTCTGTTGTGTCTGCCGCATCCCCTAGCGGTGCCGACCGCAGACCCTCACCGCCGGCCGTGCGCCGTGTTACAGACGCGCTGAAGGAGTTCGTGGTGGTGCTGCCGCATGAGAGCCTGCAGGTGCTGACGCCGCTGATGCTGCACTCGCACACGGCGCTGCGCGAGGCGGCCGACGCGGTGCCGCTGGGGCCGTACTTCCCGCGGCCGGGGCAGCCGGCGGCGGCGGCGGCCGGCACCGGCGCCGGCGCGCTCCGGCCGCCGCGGCCGCTGCTGCAGATGACCGTGCCGCGGCTCCAGCTGCAGGCAAACAAGGTGGGCGGCCGGGTACGGCAGCGGCCTCGCGCGCCGCCGACGCCGCGCCCCGGCCAGGCGAGCGGCCTCGGCGCTGGCTGGGAGTGGGACGCCCGGGTCCGCGCGTCGATCGGTGCTGAAAGCGGCAGTGGTCCCGCGCGACGGCATGCCGTGCTGTGTGGAGACCATTATGCCCATATCAACAGTGGTGATGACCTCGTAGTTCGGAGACCACGTCCGCCGGGAAAGGTGCCGTGTCGATGTCGCACAGGCTCATGCTAGCGTTTTGGGATGTCTTGCCACGCTCCGCCGCGCCGCGCCGCTCACGCCAGCCGCGCGGCGTCTGGGAGTGGCGCGGGCGGTGCGCCATCCGCTGACGCCCCCCCCCCCCCCCCCCCTCCGCCCGGGCAGAGTGACCGCGACGACTACGACCGCGCGCTGCTCGACTACTTCCTGCCGTACCATGTGCTGGCCGACCTGATGTGCCGGGTGGCCATCAACCACGACCTGCTGAGCGAACCACTGGTCAACCTGAGCGCGCTGCTCGGCATCGAGGGCGTGCCACTCCACCTGGCGCATTTCGCCAAACTCTGGATAGACGTGCATCAGACCAAGGTGAGGTCCATCGGGGCGGGCGGCGACAGGCTTGGGGTGCGCGTGCACCAGACCGGGGTGAGGCACGACTTGGTTGACGTCTGACGCTTTGAACTTGGTTACGATCGTGGGAAAGGCTTCTCGGTTTCCTTGGTGGCGGTGAGTTCTGTCACGTTGCCTTCAGAGGTGGGTGTTTTTCCAGTCTCTGAGCTCTGCTGTGTGGGGACGCGACGGAACACTCGCAGTGACAACAGTGCCGTGCGTGTGCACTGAGCGTGCGCCCCTCTGACGCTCTGTGGCGCCGGCGGCAGGCGATGGAGAAACACATCGGCCGCCTGCTCAGCTGCGGCTACCTGGCCGAGTACCTGGAGCGGGTGCTGACCGCCGCCCGGCCCTCGCTCACAAACAGCGTCATCTACAAGTTTTGCTCCCTCTTCCTGCCCAAGGTGAGAGGCTACGCTCTGCAGGACGTGGAAACGAGGCGCAGGATTTGGCACTGTGGCAATGGGAGCCGGTGCCTGATCGGGTTGGGTGGTGCGGGAGCAGTATGCAGGCTGCCCCAGTGCTTGGTCGGTATGCGGCCATTTTGACCAGTAATGAGTACGCTGAGAGCTGCTACGAGTGCCGATTGCAGCAAAGGTGCCGATTTTGAGCAGGTTTTCAGGCATCTAGGCTGTATGTTTTTACAATCGTTTTGCGTCTTTATAGCATGGCTGCCAGGCGACAGACAGGTCTCAGACAGGGCTGCAGGCTTGACTGAAACTTATATCGCAGCGTTGGTGAGACCCGGTGCGCCGGTGACGAATGGCGTGACCTGCGGCGCGCCTGCTGCCCTCGCCGGGTGACGCGCTGCCGCCGTGTCGCTCCTCGTGACCGGTGCACTTGGAGCGACGCTGGGCTGGGACGCTCGGTCCGGCCGCTGCTCGGCCGTCCTTGAGACGTGTGCGATCCCCGTCACCAGGTGACCGGCGAGCGGGGTGCCGGCGGCGCGCAGGCGGCGGCGGTGGCCGCTCAGCTGGGGCCGCTCGTCGACCAGGTGACGACCGAGCTGGTCGAGCTGAGCGCCGCGGCCGGCGGCGCCGAGGCCGGACCGGCGGCGCGGCTCGGCGCCGATCTGCGCGCCCTCTCGCTGCTGTACCACGCGGCGCCGCCGGCCACGCCGCCCGCTGCGCTGCTGGCCGCTCTCCGGCAGGCGCTGGTCAAGCTGGACGTGCCGGCGGCGCCCACCGCCGCTTCCGCCGCCGCCGCGGCCGGTGCCGCCGCCGCCGCCGCCGCGACTGGTGCGGCCCAGGCGTCCGGCTCGCCAGCGGCGGCCACGGGAGCGGCGACGCCGGCCGCCGAGCCCGAGGGCGCCGCCGAGGAGGCGCCGCTCGCGACAGAGCGAACAGGTGAGGGCTGGCCCGGCGCGGCGGGGTGTGACGTAGGACGGGGCCGGTGGTGTCGGCGTAGGCTGCCGGGCCAGCACAACCGTTTTGGCACCGATGCCGGCGCATTCGGAGATTGGGGCTCATTATCCGCCGTTACCGTGGTCTGACGCGCCGTCAAAGCGGTTTTGATGACGTTCGGATGAGAGAGCGTCTCGTAGATGTCGTGACGAACGGGGATGAATGGGGCCGTAGTGGCGCAGCGCACTAGATATTTGATGTGAGGACTGGAAGCACGTGACGCGAATTGGTAAGATCCGTTCAGTTCATTTGTGTTGTTTGTTAACCACAGACATTTATATCCACGCACCACCGCGTTCGTCCACAAGCGAGAGCAGCCAGCGCTGTGTGACGGTTCATCCGTTGCTGGCCGCCATGCCTGCCCGCGCCCAGCCGCCTCTGACGCGGACGCGGACGCCGACGCCGGCAGGTGGCGGCTCGCCGGGCGCAGAGGCGACGGCGCTCGGGGCCGCGGACGCGACCGACGAGGAGTCGGCCGGCGGCGGCTGGCGACCGGCGCTGGCACGCGCCCTTCAGCAGCTGCTCGACCAGCTGTCCGCCAGCAAGGCTTGTGATCGTAGACTGTAGAGGGGTCGGCGGCCTCTCGTCCGGCGAGCGCGCGCGCGGGTCGGCCGCGGCGGCTGCGGGGCGCGCCGGCGGCGCCAGCGGCGACTGTATTATCTATTTTCTTACGTCGCTTTGGAAAGACATTTATGTGATCCGGTTTTTTTCTCGATAGGCTGTCCAGCGAGTTGTCCTGATTTTACGGCTTCGTATGTGTGTTGTCGTTTTTTAGCTTGAAACCTCGTTCAATCTCAAATATACAGTTGTTGGCCGTCGTAGGCTTACGTGATGGTTGTCTGTTGGTGCACTGCGGCCTGGTGAACGCTGAACAGGTGGCGGCGGCGCTGGCCTCCAGTTCGCACGGCAGCGTGCCTGTGACGGAAAGGCCATAGACATTGCTCCCGGGGCCAAACGGCTGAGGAGCGCTGCCAGACCACTCTCCTCAGCCGACTGAGAGCAGACGGCGATGGTGGCGTCAGCCTCGGGAGGCGCCAATCCGCTGCAGGAATTCAGAGGGCCAGTGTTGTCAATATCGTGACATTGGTGGGACTGACTGAGCGTGGTCGCGGCCAGTCTGTGGCAGTATGTAGAGTAATATGTTCAGGCCCAGTTTCAGTTGCCAGTTTGGAAGCTGCCTTGTGGTCAGTTGGCTTCAAAACTCACGTGTTCTGTCCGCTAGCTGGGCAGGCCACCGGCCCGTCTACCATCGCCCATCGCTTCTCCGTGCGTTCTCGCACCGCCGCTCTCCGGAGCGTGCTGCAGCCGTCAGCTCCGAGGTTGCCTAGTGCTGCCTTGTCGGTGGCCCCTGTGTGAGCGCCCGAACATTCGGTTCTGAGGGGGTCCGTGTACAGGGGAGGGTCGTCGGCGGAGGTCTCCGACGGTGGCCGCGGTCAGCAGCGTTTCCCCACCGCTCGTCTTGCTCTTTCATCCCGTAGCCATGGCGTGGTCAATACTGGCCGAAAGGGCTCTTATGCGAACCAAACCAAACCAAACCAAACCTGCTCAATGTATGCTGTCCGGCTCTGAGGGCGTGACGCGTGATTACACGATCGCTATCATATGCGTTCAGCGACCCTGAGGAGCGATCCAGTCATCTAGCGATCACTGCGTCATAAGATCACGGGGGACCATCTAAAGCCTGCGGCGTGGTAACGTCGGTGGCCCATCGTGGCGCTCTTCTGGAACTGGGCTCGGGCCTGTCTTCTAAGCACTCGGCTAGGCAGCTAAACAAAACACTGGACCTTCGCTGCGTTCATACGGCACGCTGGTATCGGAAGCCTGGGCAACATGCCGGCTGGCAACTTGGAGCGAGTTTGCTCTGCGCGTAGAGTGAATATACAGACAGGGAAGCCGATGAGGAGGAAGATTCGGGGAGTGCTGTGTACCAATTATGAGCTACAAGCTTGTGCAAACTTCAGCAGTGGATGAGTCCTAAGGCCGCCATGGCTCCAATGTTTGCCGGCCAGGGCCTGCGTCGATTCCATTCGCTGTTGATGGTCAACTGGCCATTGGTCAGAGGATTAGACTGACAGGCCGGGTCGTGCCGGGCATGTCGTGAACAATGTGGACGAGAACGGCGGGTTCAGTGAGTCGGGCAAAGGCAAAGCTTCATGGCGGTGACGGCGAGAGGACCGAAAATGGCCCCCGCTGTGGCGACGAGATGGACAAGGACACACACATCGAGCACGAGGCGCCGGCCTTCGTTGTGGGCTTCGTGGCGGCCAAGTGCAAACACCGATCCAAGTATGGGACTGTCGGCCCGAGAGGCACCACCCAGCTGTGTGCCAGACAGCTGGACACACACGATTAGACAGGGTGATCTGATGGTGCCGTTGCCGGCCTGGACGAGCGTTGTCGAGGCTTTCGAGATCGTGCTCCAACTAGTGATGGACCGAGGCATGGACCAAGACATTGGCATCATGGACCGCCCACAAAGCTCCTGGTGAGAAAGTTCTGCTCTGGACAAGCGGATTGCTCGGAAGCTGGTGAGGACGCGCATCCATTTGCACCTCAGATGGCTTGATCAGGCTGGGGCTGAGCGAGCTGCTGCCGGGCGCGCAGCTAAACAGGTGCGACATCAGGTGCACAGCGCGAAGTGAATATGGTTGTGCTTATGTGAGCATAAGAAATTGAGCTTAAATAAGCATCGTTATGCCTTCTTTGTCTTGCATGCTTGTGTGTCTGTCTGAGGCATAGACGGTTCCTTCGCATACACACATTTGGGTTGCTTCAGACTGGTTATCATGTCGCATAACTCCGGACTTATGCTGTGTTGTCTATAGTTGTGTTCTCCGTTCCCCCTGTTTATTTTGGGTCCTCGCCAAGTGTGCACAATGAAGTGTATACTGGTGCAAGAATCGCTTTAGTAAAACACGGCGAATTCTGGGTCATGTGCGTGTTCGATAAATTGGCTGCATGGCGTGACGGATATCATCTTGGTTAACACCATGCGCCACGACCTTCAGAGGCCTCTTGGCATAGTTGACGCAATGTGCAATGTCCACAATGTCCTATGTTCTACCAGGCAGCGTGCTACTTCCGTCGTCTCAAACTGCCTCAATCGCACACCAGTGCAACCCAGCGCGCTATTATGCATAGTGCTGAAGTTCAGCGCGACAGGTCGGATGATGATCCCGGTGCCGCTCAGTTCTCGCTTTGGCAGTGGCTGGACCTGGGACAGGTTCACTAACCCGTATTTAAGCAGCTGTAGGCTGGCCGACTTCAATGCATCGCCATAGACTCGATGTTTGGCATCCTCAGCAAATGGGAGTGCCATGGCACATGTGTTCGTAGTTCCTAGGCCTATGTTCGCTGTTTTACAACAGGCGGGACAAAAATAACCTTTTATATTTCCTCATAGTACTTCTTGAAGTGCCGTGTGGCGATCGCCAGATGCATTTGTTAGTAGGTACGCCGGTGCAGCAGACGCGAAGGTGATGCTGACGGCGCGGTGATGCCAGGCTGCGACTTTGTAACGTCACTCTAATGGTGAAGGAAAAGTGCCGGAAAAATCCCCGGATGATCATACCTTATTACATGGCCTTGGTGTGGGGGTAAAGACGCGGCTACCATATACTATCCATATGAAGGGCGCTTTGGATTCGATTATGGCGCGGCTGATTCGTTTGTAGGCATGTATGGTGCACGGATTTTGGTCAGTGCCCGATGGCAGTGGGATTGTTTGTGGGAAGCGGGTTGTCCATGCGGTGGTATGGAATTTTATTCCGAGTTAGGTCATAGTGTTCATGAGTTGAATTGGGGTAGTGTGAGTGTTTTATTGAAAAAATTAAATGAACGATAAATATCTTCAGAGTCACTGTGTATTTTGTTTGTGTTTAGTGAGCTCGATTCCCAGATACCTAGCTCACGTTATTAGCATTGTTCAATTTCTTACCTCAAGTCAACCCCTCAACATATAGCTATATTACTGGTCATTGAATGAAGTGCAGAAGCCAATGCTGGGTCAATTGCCCATTGCGGTTGCCAATGTCTTTGTAAGTGTTATGAATAGGAATCAAATGCAGGATGTCAAGGTTGTTGGGCATATCAAAGATGTTTGCCAATTTTTGGGAAAGCTAAATTCAGATTTCTCAAATTGGCTTAAACCACAGAATATTCATCATGCAAGGCAAAGACATGCAAGTACCTTTGTTTTTGAACAGTGCTTGTGTCATTTTATGTGTTTGCAGTAGAGATCCAAGGCATATTGGACTACCCATCCTTGCACTTTATCCTTGACCAAGGCCCTGTGAGAAAAGCTTATCATAATGAATGAAAGAATGTGACATTCATCCTCAGATCCATGATGAGACCAACATTTTGCTTACATATTACTAGTAAAACCCTGTGGACCCATAAAACCAGTGGACCAAGCCATGTCAAATTTAGCAGGAGTGCATTGTGGATTTCTATGGATATAACTGAGATAGGTTCATTCAATAACCTTGATCCCAGTAGCAGTGGTACATTTTCAGGTAATAGACACTGCTGACTGGTGGTTATGTAACTGAATGTTGTAGATGGAAACAACATATGAAAATGGTGAAAAACTATAAAAATCTGCTAGCATCCATCCAGCGCTCTTTGCGTTTTGTTGGATGTGACGTCAAGAACATATAACTCCTGCCGGTTTGGCCTTTTGTTAGTGAAAGGTTAAGGTTGAAATGCATTGCTTTCTACTATATTTTTGTCAGTTTTCTACTTAAAAGCATTTTTACACTACCGTATGTTGAAGCTTCAATTGTGAACTTTAGACAGATATGGTTACCTCTCCTAGGCAGATGCATCTTCTTCAGTTGTAACATGTTTGTTTGCAGGCCTTAACAAGCAATGATGGATGGTCTTCAAGGAGAGGCAAGTAATATTATGTCAATGTCATCTTGTCTTGAGCTCACATGTCAAACATGCAACACTTGGCACATTGTCCAGATTCATCCTTGTGAGCTGCTTTTGGATGCCTTTTACAGGAAAGGTAAAAGCAAACAGGGCAAAACAAAATTAAAACACATTTTCTTGCAAATTTGTAATGCACCTCTACCTACCAGTGTGGCAGGCAGGCCTTTCATGTTCAACACAGGTTCAGAGCTTGCATGTAAGAGCAGTGCTATCATCAACAGTGCACACAAACAAAAAATTTTGCAGGTGGAGAACTTGGTGAGCCAGCTTGGCTTTGACAAGCTCAGCAGCAAGCAAATAGATGATGACATTGACGACGCACCAGAGTATAAGCCCAAGAAAACCGCGCGGAAGCGAAAACGCGATGCTGAGTCTGCTGCTGCCAGCAGACCGGCCACCGAGTCCTCTGCCACCAAAGGCGCTCCGCAGCGCGCACCCCGCCCTGCAAAACTCCAGAAGAGCCAGCGCCCAGACGCGACCCAGAGGCCGGGCAAATCGCGGCGTCGCGACGGTGGGGCAGAGCCGGCGGCTGAGCCGGCGGCGACGGCGACGGCGGTGGCGCCGCGGCCGGCCGAGCCGAGGCGGGCGCGGCGCCGCGGTCCCCCCGAGCCGGCCGTCCAGGTGGCCGAGGTGTCGAGCTCGGCCGAGGAGCCGGCGCCGCCGCCGCCCAGCCAGCCGCGCTGGTACCAAAGCTCGGTACGTACCGGCCGGACGCCGCGCAGTCTGGGAGGGGCACGTGCGGGGGCGGGGCAGCGGGTCGCGGGTATGCTTGGGTCGGCGTGTCGGGAGTTGGACAGTCACCACTGTGGTGACAGTGACTGGTCACCACTGTGGTGACGGTGACTAGTGCGGTTAATGCTGCTCTGGAGATGACTGATCTGGTCAGTCCAGTTTGATCGAAGCAGATGGTCATGGCATGAGCTCCTAGTGCAAGACTTCCTCATCCATCAACAAAACCAGGCTTTCGTTGTACGTAGCGAGATCATCTCACCATTAAGCTATGCTGCTTCAAAGAAGCGGACGCCTAATAAGCGTGAGAAAAAGAGAAAGCTTGAGGCCTGCGCTATGGATGTTGTGTTTCAGGAGCTGCACCTCCAAGCTAAACATAACCCTCACGCCAATTCCACTCTGCTGGGCATCGCCGACCGACCGCTCGCGGCCCGACGGCGGGCGGTTGTCGGCCGGCCTGCTCGGCAAAACGGGACAGGGCCAGGTCGGCTCCTCGTCCATGACAGGCCCCTAACGATCCGTGACGATCCGTGCTGCTGTCCGACAGGTGACGGACCGGCCGGCCGCACCCGTGCCGGAGGGCGTGGCCTCCCGGCTGCTGCAGGAGGCCGCGGCCGCCCTCAGTCAGGGTGTGAAGGCCTTCAAGGCCGGTGAGTGCGCCGCAGCTGTGACAGTGGGGCAGCTTGAGGGAGAGCAGCTGCACCGAACTGTGGTGAATTTCTTGACTGCTGAGCTTGTGTTGGAGCAAGTGAAGTCGCTCGTTGTCCCTGCAGAGCCGGTGTTGGAACCAATGAAGTCGCTCGGTGTCCTCTCGTCATCTATCTCGCTTATTGATTCCTGACTGGCTGCCATTACAGATGCTGTTGAGTGGCTTAGCTGCTGCAGTTAACGCTTGTTCCTCTGCTGGACAAGGACGGAGTGCCAGCTGGTGTGTGTTCATCTTTCACTGGCGTGTCCCGTTTCACCGCGGGTGGATGCTCTCCATCCCCTTTCGTCCCCTCTGACCACCCTACTTCGACCCTGCTGTCCTGGGACATATCCGCCCCCGCACACTTCACTTGACCTCACCACCTGACCGTATACTGACTTGGTCGCTGACTGACTGGGTCGCTGACTGACTCGGTCGCTGACTGACTCGGCCTCCGACTCTGACGCTGACTGACTGTGTCGCTGGATGGCTCGATCGCTGACTGACTCAATCGCTGACTGACTCGGTCGTTGAATCTGACTTGGTCGCTGACTGACTCGGTCGTTGACCGACTCCGACTCTTCCTCTGATTCTGACTCGGCTGTTGACTCAGATTTGGTCGCTGACCCTGACCCGGGCGCGCCGCCAGATGGCGCCGGCCAGGCGGCCAGCCAATGGAGCTGGACACAGACGGTGCTGACCTCGGGCACCGTGTCGGACAAGCTGGCGGCGCGGCAGGCGCTGCTGCGCGCTCGGCCCCAGTTCGGCCTCCACCTCATCGACGACACGGTCCGCATGGTGGCCGCCAAGGGCAAGGGCCACGCCATGCAGGCTATGAGTGAGTGCCGGCCGGCCGGGCGCGTGGACGTGCGGGTCGCCGCGGCTGCGCAGTTGTGGAGGACGATCAGGAGGTGGGGGAGTGGGAGGGGAGGGGAGGACGGTCAGGAGGTGGGGGAGGACGGCGGGATGACCGGCGCGAATTTCGGGCGGTGGGGACCTGTGTGCGACGGGGTTGTGCCGTTTTTGTTCCGTGACTGCGGACTTGGAGCGGGCTACCTTCGATTGCTGCACCCTGTGAATGTGGCGAGTGACCCTCACGATTGGCTCGTCTCTTCGGCCGCCGATCCATTGTGCTGAAGGACCAGGCCTGGAAGAAGCATTCGCTTACACGAGGCACGATGAAGCGGGCGCTTAGCGCGGGCCGTCTTGGCGAGAGTCGGCCCCTTGTGTCGCGCGGGTGTACCTGTTTCGAGCCAGGTCACTGCATGGTTCTCAGAACTTGCCGTGCCGGAAGCGTGATGGGCGCAGAATGACCATAGCAGTCGGTGCACCCCAAAACCCGAGTCATCATCGTCATGACGCAAGCGTGCTTTCAGACATGCTGGCGGACCTGTTCGGGCAATACCTGCTACCTCCGAATCGGAAGCTGAAGTTGTTTGCCCAGCAGCCGCTAGGGGCGCTGCAGGACATCGCCGGCGGCGATCCCGCCGTTCGCAGGCGTCAGCTGATTTTCTGGTGAGTTTTCCTAGCTTTGTTTTGTTGTTTTTCACCTGCGAAGGTACACCGAACAAGCACCTGTCGCGTTGCCGCCATCCCACCACGGACCGGTGGGCACGCCGTCGGTCGCCGGCCAGCTGCCCCCCCCCCCCCCCCCCCCCAACCCGCCGCCGGAGCTTGCCCGAGAGCAGGAGTACGGAGCGAGCCGTGGTCACCCGGTCCCAGTGCTCCGCCACCGCACTGACCGCTGTGTCCCCCGCAGGCTCTTCGAGGAGCGCCTGAAGGCCGCCTACAAGGAGTTTGTGGGCCGGGTGCGCGAGATGGCGCACGACACGGTCGAGAAGTCGCGCAAGCACGGCGTCAACACGCTGGCGCAGCTACTGGTGGCGCACCCCGAGCTAGAGCAGGTGCTGAGGCGGGACGGCGGTGTGCCCTCGGCTGACGGGGACGGGGTCACGGGTCACAGGGTAGGTCATGACCCAGTCACCGGCCGATGGCCATGGGGGGAGGGGGCGGGGGCATCCCGGAGTGGACCTCGGCATTGGGAGACCCTGATCACATGCAGATAGAAGGAAGAAAGTTTAACAGGTGGTGTGGTGCGTAACGGGGCTTTCGTGAGTTTTTGCTGTAGCCACACACAACAGCGAAATGGACAGCTGATGCGCTCATGTTGGCTCAACGTCACTCGTTCTCATACGTTCGTCAGGTCCTCCCACCACCCCGCTGAGCACCAGCGTCACGTCACGTGCTGAAGTGCGGGCCCATCGCCACCAGGAGGCCTCAGCGTCCGTTAGCCCGACTCATTAACACCATCACCGACACCAGTTCCATCACCGCTATTACCACCACTATTACCACCACCGTCACCATCACCTCCATTGCCACCACCGTCACCAGCAACATCGCCACCACCATTACCACCATCGTTACCATCACCGCCATTGCCACCACCGTCACCACCACCATCGCCACCGCCATTACCACCACCGTCACCACCACCACCATCGCCACCATTCGTCCTCGCCGTCAACGTAATCCTGACAACCATCACGACAATTCGCAATGTCACTCATCACCTTTTCCATCACCATCATCACCATCATCACCATTGCCATCATCACCATCACCATCGTAAGCATGACCATGCCGGTGTTGCGGCCACCGCAGACGCTGCTGGAGACGCTGGCCAATAAGCTGGGCGACGAGAAGAAGTCGGTGGCGTGTCTGGCGGTGCGTCGGCTGAGCTCGCTGCTGCGCGCCCACCCGGCCATGCGCACCGTGGTCGTCAAGGAGGTGGAGCGGCTGCTGTTCAGGTGCGCCACCCCGCCGCCGCCGCCGCCGCCGCCGCCGCCGCGAGCAGCGGTCGCGCCGCAGGTCTGCTGTATGGGGTGGCTGCCGCGGAGCCGGGCGGCCGACACGCTGTAAAACGCCAGTCACTGTCATTATCACCACCTGTGATAGGTGTGGCGGTATGCTGTTGTGGTGGACGTGGTGTGCGTGTGGTACTGCTGAGTGTGGCGTCCGATGTCCGATAGTGCCCGTCAGCTCGAGTGGTGTGGCCGTGCTATGCCCTCCTCGTCACCGCTCCGCCCGTCACCGCTCCGTCCGTCACTGGCCCGTCCGCCACCGTTCCATTGCTCCGTCCGCCACCGCTCCATCTGTCACCGCTCTGTCCGTCACAGATCCACCCGTCACCGCTCCGTCCGTCACTGGCCCGTCCGCCACCGTTCCATCTGTCACTGCTTCGTCCGCCACTGTTCCATCTGTCACTGCTCTGTCTGTCACAGATCCACCCGTCACCGCTCCGTACGTCACTGGCCCGTCCGCCACCGTTCCATCTGTTACTGCTCCGGCCGCCACTGTTCCATCTGTCACCGCTCTGTCTGTCACGGATCCACCCGTCACCGCTCCGTCCGTCACTGGCCCGTCCGCCACCGTTCCATGTCACTGCTCCGTCCGCCACCGTTCCATCTGTCACCGCTCTGTCTGTCACAGATCCACCCGTCACCGCTCCGTACGTCACTGGCCGGTCCGCCACCGTTCCATCTGTCACTGCTCCGTCCGCCACCGTTCCATCTGTCACCGCTCTGTCTGTCACAGATCCACCCGTCACCGCTCCGTACGTCACTGGCCCGTCCGCCACCGTTCCATCTGTTACTGCTCCGTCCGCCACCGTTCCATCTGTCACCGCTCTGTCTGTCACAGATCCACCCGTCACCGCTCCGTCCGTCACTGGCCCGTCCGCCACCGTTCCATCAGTCACTGCTCCGTCCGCCACCGTTCCATCTGTCACTGCTCCGTCCGCCACCGTTCCAACTGTCACTGTTCCGTCCGTCACCGCCCCATCTGTCACCGCTCCGTCCATCACCGCTCTGTCTGTCACCGCTCCACCTGTCACCGCTCTGTCTGTCACCGATCCATCCGTCACCGCTCCGTCCGCCACCGTTCCATGTGTCAATGTTCCGTCCATCATCGCTCTGTCTGTCACCGCTCTAACTGTCACCGATCCACCCGTCACCGCTCTGTCCGTCACTGCTCCGTTCGTCACCACTCCACCTGTCACCGCTCTGTTTGTCACCGATCCACCCGTCACCGCTCTGTCAATCACCGTTCTGTCTGTCACCGTTCCATCTGTCATCGCTCCGTGTGGCACCGCTCCGTCGGTCACCGCTCCACCTGTCACCGCTCCGTCCGTCACCGCAGGCAGAACGTGGGAAAGCGGGTGCAGTTCTACGGCATCTGTTTCCTCTCGCAAGTGCAGTTCTCGGACGAGGGCGACGAGGCGCTGGCGCAGCGGATCGTCCGCATCTACGTCGGTTTCTTCCGCGCCTGCGTCAAGCAGGTGGGCCGGCCGTGACGCCGCGGAGGACGGGCGTTCAGGCGTGTGTGGCCAGTGATGCGCCAAGATTGTGGTGTGCTGTCTGTTTGTGGCGCAGTCAGGAGCCTCTGCGGCGGTGTTCCGGACCTTGCCACCGCCGGACTCAGGCGTGTCCTCTCCCCGGCACGTCTGTCGGTCACACCTCTACCTCCTCACTCTCTGGCACGTGGCGCCGCCCACCGACCTCTCCCACCTGTCGGCTGTATCTCTGGTCACGTGACAGGTCGGGTACCGCCGCGACCCTCCGCCAGCCGCCCGTTTGACCGCCCCCCCCCCCCCCCCCTCCTCCCCGGGCAGGCGGAGCTGGACGCGCGTCTGATGCGCGCCCTGCTGACGGGCCTCTCGGACTGCGTGGGCCGGGCGCGCCTACTGGCCACCGAGCTGCAGCAGTACATGCAGCCGCTGCACCACATCGCGCAGCTGGCCAACTTCGGCGTGGCCACGCAGGCGCTGCTGCTCATGTTCCGGCTGACGACAGCCGGCGGCCAGACAGAGCCCACCGACCGGTGAGGCGGCAGGCGACGGCTGGGGACGGGCCGGCGGCCAGACAGAGCCCACCGACCGGTGAGGCGGCGGACGGCGGCTGGGAATGGGCCCGTTGGCAGGCGGCGGCTGGGGACAGGCTGGTCAGTTGGCGGGATAGCGGGACCTGCTGGCGGGTGTCCGGTGAGGTGCGCCCGTTGACGGGCGAGCCCTGTGTTGCTGCTGGGCATGCTGACCTGGCTGGGAACAGGAGGCACGAGGGTTAGACGCTGACTGCAGACCACTGGGGGACGTTGGTGTTGCTGGCGAGGCGGCTGACCTGGCTGGGGACAGGAGGCACGAGGGTTAGACGCTGACTGCAGACTACTGGGGGACGTTGGTGCTGCTGCTGGGCATGCTGACCTGGCTGGGAACAGGAGGCACGAGGGTTAGACGCTGACTGCAGAATACTGGGGGACGTTGGTGCTGCTGCTGGGCATGCTGACCTGGCTGGGAACAGGAGGCACGAGGGTTAGACGCTGACTGCAGAATACTGGGGGACGTTGGTGCTGCTGCTGGGCATGCTGACCTAGCTGGGGAACGAGGGTCGGACGCTAACTGCAGACTACTGGGGGACGTTGGTGCTGCTGCTGGGCATGCTGACCTGGCTGGGAACAGGAGGCACGAGGGTCAGACGCTGATTGCAGACTACTGGGGGACGTTGGTGTTGCTGGCGAGGCGGCTGACCTGGCTGGGGACAGGAGGCACGCGGGTTAGACGCTGACTGCAGACTACTGGGGGACGTCGGTGTTGGTGGCGGGGCGGCTGACCTGACTGGGGACAGGGGGCACGAGGGTCGGACGCTAACTGCAGCGTACTGGGGGACGTTGGTGTTGCTGGCGAGGCGGGCTACAGAAGTTTTGCGGGGGCGCCGGTTGGGGCAGACGACCACATGGAAACGACGGGTTCGCATCAGTTCCGCTATTACGAACCTAATGTCATTGTTGAAACTTTGGGATAGGTTCATGCATATTTAACACAGGCCCAAGCCCCATCCATTGCTCAAACACTGTCCAGCTGATGCTCAAGGTACCTTCTGCACCTATGCATTGCTAAAACGCTATTCGACGGATGTTTCAGGTACTACTGCGCGCTCTACAAGAAGCTGGTCCACCCGGGTCTGGCCACATCGCAGAAGCTGGCCGACTTCCTGAACCTGGTGTACCGCTCGGTCCGGATGGACTCGTGCCAGCCGCGAGCGCGCGCCTTCATCAAACGCCTGCTTCAGGTCAGTGGCGCTGACGCCGCGCGGAGGGCCTCGCTGACGCCCGCCGTGCTGCCCGGAGACTGGTGAACACGCAAACGGGGACCTGTTGTTCATCCGAGGCAGAACGCCTCGGCGGAGGTCTGTCCCTCTGAGACGGTTGTGGAGTGCATGCGTGCAAAGTTGATTTGAAGCCGCCATATGTTTATTATGAAGCGCTCCCACTGCTGGTGTATGCTGGGGCCAGTGAGTGCTCGCGCGACCCGGCATGAGTCTGGGGCATTGCGCAACTGACCCACTGTGCTCCAGTGTGCGTGACGTGCTCCCTCCCCCACCCGAGCACGCCTGCGCTGACGCCGCCGCCACCGCCGGCCGCCACAGGGCTGCCTGCACCAGACGGCGGCGTTGGCCTGCAGCGTGCTGCTGCTCGTCTCCGAGCTGTTCCGACGGCGGCCCGAGCTGGCGCACGTGGCCGGCCAGGCGACGGCCGCCGCCTGGACGGCCGACGACCACAGTGACGGCGAGGAGGCGCCGAGAGACGTGCCGCTGCCGGTGAGGCGACGCCGCCGCGGGCCGGAGCCCCCCCCCCCCCCCCGCACACACACTGTTCGTCTGGGGCGAGTCCTCTGACAGGGGGCGGGAAGGGGAGGAGCGTGGAGGGTGACGGATCGGGGGGCCAGCTCATTGACATATGAGGAGTGTGATGTCTGAGTCGGCCAGTGGGGTATCAAAGGTCTCAGCAGGATTAAGTGTAGCACAAAAAGGCTAATGTGCTAAGCAAGCAGCGGCACATCAGTGTGTAAAATTCACAAGGTGAAAACTCCTTTCTGGCGCATGCTTCGCTGTAAAGGAGCTTCAGTTCCAGTGCGCTGTCTGTGAGGCGTCGCGCTCTCCGCGTTGCGTGTAGTGCGCCTTTCAGCGCCCCGCGTGCCGCCTGACCTCAGGACGAGCCTCAGGACGAGCCCCGGCACGAGCGTGAGGACGAGCCTCGGGCCGCGACGGCGGCGGCGGTGCCGGCCGGCTGGCAGTTCGTGGGCGGCGCGCGGCCGGGCGCCAGCCGGCGTCGGTACGCGCCGCTGTACCGCGAGCCGCGCTGGTGCCGCGCCGAGCTGGCGGCGCTGCACGAGCTGGCGCCGCTGGCGCGCCACTTGCACCCTACGCTGGCGCTGTTCGCCGGCCAGCTGATTGCCGGGCGGCAGGCCCAGTATTCGGGCAACCCGCTGCACGACTTCCAGCTGATGCACTTCCTCAACAGGTGGGCGGCGCGACGGGGCACTGGGCGCCTCTGGTGGGACCGAGGGAGGCTGGCGGTTGGGATGGCGGCCGCTGGGGGCGTCGGCGGCACCTGGCCGACGTGTCTGGTGCACTGCTGGGTGTAACCCTGACTGCAGCGTGGCGCACTTAACTGCAGTGTGTGTGTAATCCCATGGCTCGCTGTGAACTCAACAGTCGTCTGTGACTCCGCTGCGGTAGAAGCGAACGGCAAGCAGCAACGGCCACTACCACGCCCACTCCACCAACGCTTTGAGCAGTGGGCATGATGCACTACCCGTTGATGACATCGATTACGAAGCGAATAGAGCCGTTTGACATAAACAACAACAACAACGACAAAAGCTATTTCGGGCGACAGAGCCGTCCATAAGCTAGGCATGATGTGAACTTGCTGTAGCCCGAGGCGCCGCCCACTCGGCCGGCGCCGAACCGTCTGAGGTTGACCGTGCTGCGCCGTCCGCAGGTTCTGCTACCGCAACCCGAAAAAGTCTGCCTCGGTGGCGGAGACGGCGCGTCGGCTGCCTGTCAGCTCTGCCGAGTACGCCCGGCTGGCACCCAGCCAGGTGCCGCACGACGAGAAGTTCTTCCACCGGTGAGGCGGCTCACGCGGGCGATGTGTGTGTGTCTCTGTGTGCTGGACCCCGATCGGTGCACTAGGAGCGGTGTGGAGTGGGCGCTTGCCTTAGAGACATTAATGGCTGTCTTCGCATGAGTCGTGCTCAAGTTCCGTGGAGGGTCTAGCTCTCTCAACACGAGCCCAAGAGCAGCCGAACAACTTACCACCAGGTGCCAGGCCGGCTCGCCCCGTGTTAGGTTGAGATGCTTGGCAGTGTGGCCCGTGTGGAGCGGCATGCCTGGCTGCCCACGGCGGCAACCTCGGCTAGTGTTAGCACGAGTCTGCAGCACGTAATCCTGTCGCCTCCCAGCGACGCGACGCCGAGGCCCAGGCCGGACTGTGGCGCCTTTATCTAATAGACGTGTCTTTTTTGTTTTGTTGACACTTGGTTAACATGCTGCGGACAAAACTCGGTTAGCACGAAGCACGCCATCCTACTTCTTCGTCCCACCAGCTCTTGCAGCTCGTGCAGCTCGTCGGCCGTGTGATCATTGTGCTGGTGTTGTCCGGCACGCTCGTGTGCCGCCGCCCGGCCGGTCACGCGCGCCTGGCGCCGCCGCAGGTACTTCCAGTGGCGCGATGAGCACGGTCTGACGGCGAGCGCCGCCGGCCGGCCGCTGACCGACGCCAGCGGTGACGTCACAGACGAAGCCTTCGACGACTTCCTGGACGGCTTCTTCGAGAAGAAGAGGAAGGCCGGCGACGGCGTCGACTTCCTGACAGAGATCGCGCACGGCGCGGAGGAGGCACTGGAGGAGGGTGAGGGAGGGAGGGTCACGGCGCGCGGGTTCCGGCTGGCAAGGGACGGTGTCTCCCAGCGGCGTGAGGGTTTGGGTTATATGGCCAGATTGTCTTGCAGTGATTGGACTGTCTCCGTCTCCGTCTCCGTCTCCGTCTCCGTCTCCGTCTCCGTCTCCGTCTCCGTCTCCGTCTCCGTCTCCGTCTCCGTCTCCGTCTCCGTCTCCGTCTCCGTCTCCGTCTCCGTCTCCGTCCTCCGTCTCCGTCTCGTCTCCGTCTCCGTCTCCGTCTCCGTCTCCGTCTCCGTCTCCGTCCGTCTCAGTCTCCGTCTCCGTCTCCGTCTCCGTCTCCGTCTCCGTCTCCGTCTCCGTCTCCGTCTCCGTCTCCGTCTCCGTCTCCGTCTCCGTCTCCGTCTCCGTCTCCGTCTCCGTCTCCGTCTCCGTCTCCGTCTCCGTCTCCGTCTCCGTCTCCGTCTCCGTCTCCTCCGTCTCCGTCTCCGTCTCCGTCTCCGTCTCCGTCTCCGTCTCCGTCTCCGTCTCCGTCTCCGTCTCCGTCTCCGTCTCCGTCTCCGTCTCCGTCCTCCGTCTCCGCTCCGTCTCCGTCTCCGTCTCCGTCTCCGTCTCCGTCTCCGTCTCCGTCTCCGTCTCCGTCTCCGTCTCCGTCTCCGTCTCCGTCTCCGTCTCCGTTCCGTCTCCGTCTCCGTCTCCGTCTCCGTCCTCCGTCTCCGTCTCCGTCTCCGTCTCCGTCTCCGTCTCCGTCTCCGTCTCCGTCTCCGTCTCCGTCTCCGTCTCCGTCTCCGTCTCCGTCTCCGTCTCCGTCTCCGTCTCCGTCTCCGTCTCTCTCTCTCTCTCTCCTCTCTCTCCTCTCTCTCTCTCTCTCTCTCTCTCTCTCCTCTCTCTCTCTCTCTCTCTCTCTCTCTCTCCTCGTTCCCCCTAACGGTCGCGCCCCGTGCCCAGCAGATGATGTCGACGGCGGTGACGACCTGAGCCAGACAGACAGACTGCTGGAGGATGAGGATGATGAGGAAAAGGACAGTTTGGGAGACGACTCAGACGACGATCCCGGTGAGTGGGACCGGCGGCTCCGGCTTTAAGCGCCGTAGCCGGCGGCTTCGCTTCGGACGGCAGCGTCTCCCGCTACACGGCTGGCGGCGAGAGGCGCGCCGGCCGCTGGGGCTGGTGACCTGCCGCCTCTGTGGGGGCCTCGGCCCGGCGTGGGCCGCTGTTGTGACTGTTTGCTGACTCTTGACGGTGGATTTGTGCGTTTCGTGCTGAAACGGCGCCTGCAAGACGTGGAACTTTGATGTTGACGGACCATCAGTTCACCAGCATCTCAGTGTGTGGTTTCCGACTGGTTTCAGAGTTTCCAATGATGACCTCCGGATCGCGTCCGGTGACCACCAGCAAAACGCAGTCCAAGGTAACACCGCCACCGTCGCGAACCAGCCCAAATTTGGGGTTCAGGAACTTGAAACTCTTAGCTGGCCAGCGTTTCATGCCGGTATGAATTATGCCAACCAGTCTTTTACATTTGACAGCTAGGATGTGGCCCGTGTCACAATGAGTACTGCGCTGGTGTCATCAGCAGGCCTGGCGGCGTGTCTGGCTGCCGAGCCTTTGTCGGTCCACCCCACCTCCGTTTATCTGTCTCCGGAGCCCTCTTGCCGCTCCATGGCCGTCGGCATTTTTCTCTCGTGCCTTCTAACCGCCCCATATACATCTGTGTCTGTCTCCCGGACCTCTAACCTCTCCATCTCTATCCGTGTCCGTCTCCTGGGCCATCTGACCGCCTCATCTCCGTCCGGCTATGCCTCTGACCGCCACACCTCCGGCAGAAGCGAGATGTTTCGGACCTGTTCTCCGCGGCCGACGAGTACCCCGACCTGTTGGACGAGGATGACGAGCCGGCCGAGGACTCGTCCCGGGCTGCCGGTGGGTGTCCTCCCTGAGCGATGTACCCCTCGTATGCGCGCTGCTCGGATGCGGCTGATGCCCGTCAGAGACGCCGGCTCCGTTCTTCTGGGATATGTGCTCGTTTGGTCACGAGCGTTATGAACTGAGCCGTGTGAAATGTTTGATTAGCGGCATACTGTATCGCGTGGGCCTGAGACCGAAAGAAGGTCGAACGTTTTGCCGGCATGTTTTGGAGTTTTGGGGCCAGTCCTGAGATGGCAGCGTGTGGAAAAGAGCCACTTAAACCTAACCCGATACCTAAAATCTAACCACTAAAGGCGGGCGTTTTCAGCGTGACGGAATCTTTGGCGTTGGTGTTTCGGCTAAGTGGTGCCGAAGGGCCAGGTTGTGCTGCGTGATAGCGCTGCATTGCTATCCTGAGCACCCTGGCCAGTCGGTGACCTGATGCGTGTGAGAAAGGCATTGAGCTCCTGTTCGTTTGGGCCGCAGGTCAGAGGCAGCTGCAGTGGGAGGAGACGGGCAGCACCAAGCGGCGCCGGCAGGAGGCGGTCACCGACTTCAGGGTTGGCAAGGGCGCGCCGCGTAAGAAGTTTAGAGGCAACGCCAGGCGCAGGAAGTAGTGCAGTGCTATGAGAGCTGGCACGAGTACGCCCAACACGTAGAAAATTGTGTTGCCTTTTGTATTCCGGGCAGATATTCAAGATCGCTTCAGATACACATGGGTGCATGCGACGTCATCATGCATGTCACAGGAGGCTCTTACATACCCATTCGTTACACATCTGACTTGGAAAATACATACGCAAACGGTTCTGAGAAAGTGTTAGCTACCAGACAACAATCTGTCGCCGGTCCTTGTCGCCATACAGGGCTCCGCCCTCGAAAAGAATAAGAATACGTACCTTCCGTCCGCGATGCCTCTATTCTGTAGTGAGCAGTTTCAGCCGTATCATGGTGATCTGGCCCCGGTGGGTTTGCGAGGTCGTTCAGCAGGCCGACTTGCAGAGGTGCCCACACGTTCGGTCTGTGTTTGCCGGACGCTGTGCGCCCGTGTGACACTGTCCACACATCGCTCCGGCACACGTTTGCAATAGTTGTATTTAAATATCCCAAACCAAGCCAAGCCAGACCAAGTTCAAAATTATATAAGAGTATACAACATTAGGTAAGTCAAAACAACTAAAACATAGGCTTTGTTATGCGGTGGTGCTGCATGCGTTTATTTTACGTTGGAAACACGGAGTAATAACTGACAACTGTGTTAACCAGTTCACGTATTATCCCGCATCTCCGTGGTGGAACTCACAATTCCCGCGAACATTTTCTCATTTCCAAGTCCTGCCTGTATCTGAACCTCCCGCGACTTTTTGTTTTGGGGCTGCGGTGTCAGGCTGTGTCAACTTCTTTGCGCCTACGCCTACACCAGCCAAACACCAGACGGTCGGGCAGGCGACGGCCGGGCTCGGGCTGGCACTGACGAGCCGGCGAGCGCCGCCTCGCCCCGGCCGGCCAGTAGTGCTGCTGATGACAGGCTCAGGCCGATGCCCTGACGACGGACCGGTCGTCGGCGCTGGACGGAATGACGCTATGTCCGTCCGCGCGTGAAGAGATTGGTGCGGCCAGCGTGCGGCGGAAGTGAGGAGGCAAAGCTGCGTGTCTGGGAAACCAGTGGTACGCGGTTCGATTCCCCGCGGTGCCCGCCCCTCCTGCCAGCGTGAGAGGCAGACGACGGCATGCAGCTTCAGCAGCTGAAGGCGTTGTTAAGCCCCAGCAATGTTTCGTACAGGAGTAGAGGTCGTAATGTATGACTATCTCTGATCGGTCTTGGCTATGTCTCACGACTCCAGTTGGGTCCGGTCGTACAAATCGTTTCTGAGAAGATTTCTGCATTTTTGCTGAGGGAAGGTTATCCAAGACTGAGCACTGACCTCCAAAATCTTCAAATGTGGCGAACAACCAGGTAATGCGCAATTATCTGACGTATTCATATACACACAATGGTCAATATCTTGGACAACCTTGGAATTACAACACTTAGGCGTTACGTCCGCGTTGATGCGCCGTGAAAGTCGTGTAAGCATAGAACTTTCAAGACCTGACCTGACGTGACCTGGGACTTAAATGGCACGTGCCGTCGAGGCATGTTGGTCATTTTGGTGAATGACAGTTTCCTGGGAGGTTACCAGTAGCCGCCAACCATTGTGGTGTGAGAGTTTCGTGCACTGACGTAACGTAAGCCAAGAATGTTGCCTTCGTAACGCAGGTGTTGTTGCCTGCCACTGTTGCCACTGCGCAACGTAGGTGTTGTTGCCTGCCACTGTTGCCACTGCGTAACGTAGGTGTCGTTGCCTGCGACTGTTGCCACTGCGTAACGTAGGTGTCGTTGCCTGCCACTGTTGCCACTGCGTAGCGTAGGTGTTGTTGCCTGCCACTTTTGCCACTGCGTGACGTAGCTGTCGTTGCCTGCCACTGTTGCCACTGCGTAACGTAGGTGTTGCCTTCACCTCGACTGGCAAAAATCAGAGGTCCCACAACCCTTATCGGCATCCCTTCCGCCGGTACCTGATATGACATCAGGTGAGAAAGGTCACGTTGGCTGTAGTAAGGGCTAACGTCCAACTAAGCTGAGCTTGATCGCGAGCGTGGGCATGGATGGGAGCGTTCCTCCCGGAAAGGCGAGGAAGAGGGCCATGTTACGCGGGACGGGAAAGTTCCTGCAGTTTCAGACCTGCCGTTCGCAAGAGATTCTGTGCCATGTTGAGTGATGGGAAGGGTTGGAACGGGAGACGCGTGGTGGCGGTGCCGTGTATTTGCGCTCGTTCCAAACGCACTAGTCAGGAGGTTCATCTTGGCCTATAAAACCCTTGCCTACGTGCCTAAGCGCCTGCAGCCTCCATCACTCTAAGCGCCAGCATGTGGGACCAAACTACGCTGTCTTGGCGGCCATCTCGCAGGCGAAGTGCACGTTGGTGGTGCAGTCAGCGTTCACCCACTCGCCGCAGCGGCTCTGCAACGGGCTCGCCTGTGACACGCAATCCAGTCCGTCATCCGCCTTGGGGTAGCCGGCCAGCCAGAACTCGAAGTTGACGCGGGTGTCATCGTCCCAGACCCAGTCGCCGACGTTCTGCCTCTGGTTCAGGCCCAGCCAGGCGTTGCGGCTGTTGGTGACGTTGTCGAAGATGAAGGCGTTCTCGTAGAGCGAATGCACGCTGGCCAAGGCACCTTTGATTGTGGGGTCATCCGGATGGACAAACTGTTCGCACGTACGTTTGGCCGAGACCCAGTTGGATTCATAGTCGGACTCGTAGTAGCAGGTGCCGATGACGACCCCGGCGCCGACGGTCGGGAGCAGAGTCCAGCCCGGCGGGCAGGTGGGAGCATCCGCGGCCGCCAGCGGCAGCGCTGTGCACAGACACGGACGTCAGCCAGGCCGCTCCTTCCACAGCTGCAAGTGCGTAGTGGTACCAGATGAGTGTGGGGATGGGAAGGGCTGGGCAGGGAGAAATGTCGAAACCTTCAAAATACACGGACAGGCGGGTTTCTCCCTGGACTTGACACTTTCTTCCCAAAGTTGAGCGAGGGACCGGAGCCCAATTTGGGGGGGGGGGGGGGGGGAGGAGGGCAGCTAGAGTCCCCAAAGCCAATAGGAAAATTCCGCCCCTATCAACTGGCACATGCGTGAACTTAATGACGCATGTCAGAGGCCTGAAGCACGGAAGGCATCGTTCGGGGGATGACGACGTCGGAGCAACTGGGCCCTTGCGCTAGGATCGCTTCATTTGTGGCAGCTGTGTGTTGCCTTCCGTTTGTTAGAAATGCTTTGCGATGCTTTATCAACCAGATGAATCAGAGTATTGGCTAATACAGGCTTTATCCGCCGTGGGTCCACGACTGACCCTGCTGTTGGTGTGCGCCGGGTCAAAGGAACGTGGTATGAGTCAAAACACTGCGGAACGTGTTAACAGTATGTACTGAGCAGCTCACGTTTGTGCGGCTGCATGCAAAGTCGAGGCTACGTGCCATTTTATGGCATTATTGCGCATATGGGTGCTTATCCGTGTCAACGCTCGTTTGAGCTTCTACGTAGCCAAACTATGGTGGGACGAAATGCGAGATCAGCTCCCAGGGAACTGGAAGACGATGATTTAACCAGCCGACGTACCCATGTCTCAACAAGCTTAGAGTAACCGGCTGCAGCTGTTACGACTGATGACATCCCGCCTTATAAGGGAGGTTCTGGCAAGAGTGCGTTCTTAGACCACAGACGCACTCACTACGCAAAATAGCACAACATTGACCGACAAAGGAGACGGCCGCTGGAGCTAGTGTCGGCCATTGAACACCAACCGAGACAGGCAAGAAGAGACGCCACCCAGACCATCTTGCGGCAGACGCCTGTGGGGTCGTCGAGGCTTCTCTCTGGACTGAGACAGAAGTGTGCCGGAACTAGAAGTTTCACTTCCCTATATAGAGACCAGCGGCGTCGCTATCAACGTTACCACGGCACTCTGCCCAGAGCCGGGGAACGCGTCACCTGGCGTGTGTGTTGAAACATGGGCTACGGAGGCCAGGGGCGGGCGGAAACGCGGGGTCGTCCCGTGGGTCGGTCAGCTGGCGCGAGACAGCCGGCGCATTTCCCCATCCTGTATCGTCTATTGGGCCAAGATAATGGTGAGGACCATTGGTGCTGCACCCACCACAGCCTCTCCTGCCTGCACCAAAATGTCGCACCATGCCAAACATGACTGGTGACTTTTTCATGAAAACATCTGTGGACATACGTGATGTCGTATGATTGATGACTACTAATCATGACTGACTTCGATTGGCAGACGCGTTTCAGTCACGAATGACTTACGAATCGGGAGCTGGAATCAACTTACCGTGTCTGGTGGGAACGCTTCGAATGTGCAATCTGGAAACCATGAACTTGATGCTTCGTTTACCAAGACCCAGGTCGAATGAAGTGTTTTGCGGTGTCGTAACAAACCAGCAAGACGTTCACACGGCGTGGCTTCGGCCGACACTGAAAAACTTCATCTACACTCGGAGTTCCATGTCGCTCGATGTCTCGGCGTGCAAAAGAAGCGCAAGGATGTGTTCAAACAGCTCGCCGTGGTGACCCTACCCTGCGCCTTCTGGCGAGAGCCCCATACTCAAAGCGGGGTCGGAGGGGGGGGGGGGGGGATTGCACCGTTCTCGGCGTGGTCCTGCCCGGCCCCACACACGCCATCTGGCTCAACGTGGTCCACGCGGGAAGAGGCAACAACCCCGTTATTGGTTGAATGCTAACGTCGAATGTGCATGTGGTCACCAGGTGCCGGCGACCGTAGGATGCTGCTGAAGAATGAAACACTGAAACATTCTACCTAATTTCCTGCAGCTAATATCACACACGAAGTAAGCCTGCTGTTAGTAAAAAATCAGCGATTTCCCTTCATTTCATCGCTATTTAGTTTTAACCGTCGCTTGAGTTGAACGTAGTTATGTCAACGGTAACACCTTGTCTTTCGTTTCAAATGAATGAGAACAATACATACCACGCCAAAAATGTATCTGGTCGTGGCACATTTCAGGTAATACCACCCACCTCGGCGCCATTACTCCAGAAAAGCAGCCAACCTTCCGCACGCCGCATCACGTGCCGCTGAACATTCAGTGGGTTGAACGCGATGTGTGAAATGTGTGAGCAATGCACATTGATCTGTGTAGGTCATGTCCGCGTACAAAATTGCGGATGATATAGACAAAACCCACTTTTTTACCTCTGGAGTGGGGTAAAACCCCAAAGTTCTCTTTCTTAACGCGCATGGTGGCACGCTTTGTATTTTAGGTTCATCGTTCTTGCCGAACGTATTGTAATGCACACACTCTGACCCTGCCCCTAAAAAAAATAATTCCACTTTGTGAAATGCATTGCTGCCGAGAGACTCCACGGCGCTGACGTGACGTGACACTGCAGCACTGTCTCACTCCGTTCTGTTCAACACGTTGGGCCATATATCGATGCAACGCGGTATAGCCCTGACACGAAACTATTACATGACATAAAATGTAATTCTTCCAGAGATACAGAGAGAATACAGAGATCCCTGCAGTACGGTCGCTTTTGACGCGTACTATTTTTTGGTGCGTAATATTTACAAAATCCATGGCATCCAGAAAATACCGTGTGATATGGTGCAGTTCTTGGATTCAAAAGGGCGAACGAGGAATGCCAGAGGGTCGGGCTGCCTGGCGTCACTGATGTGTGGCACGCTTGAATCTTAACAGTGCCGTGCGCAGCACCGCGCATGCTGCGCCATGACGTCATCATGACGCATTCCAAAAACCCCAGCCGCTACCGTTCCAGTGAAAGCCAATGGACTCGGGAGAGACACGCTCGGAATGCGTTACGTTTGCGCGGTGACCGATCCCAAACGAACCAGTCCGCTAAGCCTCTTTCACGCCGCGTGCAAGAAACTCTTGGAGCCAACAAAGCCCAGACGCTGTCTCGTATGGCACGCGAATAAGAGAGCGCTGTTCCGAGAGGATGACATCGGTTTACGTAACGTGGTAGGCTCGCTTCGCCCACCGGTGCCTCGCGAGAGCTAAACGCGCTGACAGTGGGCATCTCTCTGTCAGGAGTCAGCCGACAGAGTGACAGTGGGCATCTCTGACAGTGGGCATCTCTCTGTCAGGAGTCAGCCGACAGAGTGCGTTCGAGACAGCGCTAAGCCCAGTCCTCGGGGAAAGTCCTGTCGGGCGTAGGGTTTTAGATCACTTGCACAGAGGCTGCAGGGCGAAGACTGGAGCTGGCCCTCTCGCCATGATGACTCGCCATGCTCCCTTACACAGGATGTTTCAACTACCGCACAGTTTTGGACACTGCGGAGAAAACCGAGATGGGTTGCTGTGTACCGAGCCATGTACAGGCGTCGCATAAAACGAGCGCGCCAATGTAGCCACAAAACTGGCAGCACACGCACCCTGTATTTGTTCCCCGCCTCTCCCAGCCAGTGGCACGCGTTCGCTAGCTCCCTGGCCAGGAACTTTAACCCAGCCATCGCAGCCGGGGTGGAAGGAAAATGGCTACGCCGCGAACGTGTCACGGTGAATAACAAGCTGCAGAAGATGTAGCCACTGCTAATCTGGTTCAACTCAGGACGGTTGTCAGGAATGAGGACGGTCAGGATAACTCAGTATATATATATATATATATATATATATATATATATATATATATATATATATATATACTAAATCAGGACGCAGAACGGTCTGGATAACTCAGGTCCCGGCAGGACGGGACGTGACGAACCAGCCCTCCGCAGGATACGAGGTGAAACAATCAGCTTCGTCATCAATCAGCCGACGCACGACGCTCTCATTTCCGGGGTTCACCGCGGAGTGGCTGTTGCACTTAAAACGAGAAGTTCTTTGCCTCCCCTATAAGATATTTTCGGCAACGCTTGCTTACGACAAGCCAGCTTTTCTTGCTTCTCGCTGCTGGCGTCAAGCCGGCCGTTGTCGTTTCTCACCATTCACATCCATTTCTGTAATACCTGCTCACAGTGGCGCAGGCAGTGGTGGTACAGGAGGCACGTGCCCCCGCCCTCCCCCTTAGGCCCCGAGGGCTCTCAGGCCCCTCGGGGACCACCGAATAAAAGCCCAACATGAGTGCCCGAGGGTCCAAAGAGCTACCCAGAGATCGCATAAAGGGGCATAAAGAGGGGCCCATTTCCCGAGCGGGAACAAGGTAGGGCCATCGTTTTATCTTGGTCGGGGACTCTAACTCGATGAGGGGCCCTGTGTCGATCAGGGGCCCACAGCGCCAAAAAGTGGGTCCTGTGTTCCGAGTAAGCAAGGGGTCCCAAGTCGCCCAGGGAAACATTTGCCAGACAGACACTGGGACAAGACCCCAAATACCAGAGGGCCTCTGCGTTGTTCGAGGCCCTTTGAAAAGGAAAAGGGGTACGAGAACTTGCGATGAGAATCTCCAATGAGACAATGGAAGGTCCCTATGCCATTCGGGCCCCAGTAACGGACGGGGGGGGGGGAGGGCTGCACCTATTTCAGCCAAGGGCCCATAAAGCCAGACTGGAGTCTCCGTGCAAATTGTGGAACCCTCTGCGGCGACAAGGGGTCTTGTTGCGTCAATGAGCGCTCCTGCGTCGATCTGGAACCGCCTGCCCGGGTTAAAGAGGCCCCCGCATCAGGCGGAACATCACTGTATGATGTATCCCGGTATGGGCGCGTGGATCGACCAGGGGACCCTGCCCCCGTGTCGCCAGAATGGCAGCCAGTGGGCACCCCACACTGGGAAAGAAGGACTCTTCAGCTCTTGGCTGAGAACGCTAAGGTGCCTCCTAGTGTTCTACCCGCGAGGCTACTTGCCCAGAAAAGGTTAAGGGGTTTCATTGGTGTCCAAAAGAGTGGATTGCAATGAGGTCAAAGGAGATCGATCAACCCATGTTAGTCTGGGAATGTCCATCGTTTTGCAGAACTGACTCGTGAAACAACTTGCGTAACAAGCTTGGAGTCTGCGCGCTGGCAATCTTAAGAGCAAGAACATATACGGCCGATGTTGTAGTTTCCGTAACACTGACCGGCGTTGGCCGCTGCAGATAACACCAGGCGGAGGGCACCGCGTGCATTAAAACGACCTTCGTGGGAAATATTTCCGAAAGTGTTTCAAAATCAAATACTACCCGTCAAAGACAGAGCTGCAACGCGTATTTCACCGGGATCATTTTGAGTTTGTTATCTGAACAGATAAACGGTCACAAAAATTAGGAAAAATGTTCTACCTTTCAGGGGGTCAATTTTCACTTCTTTTGGGGGGCCGAACCGATGGCCCGACGACCTAGCCCCCCCCCCGAACCCATTTTTTTAGCACCGGTTTTAGCCCACTTTATTTTGATTAAGGCAATGTATGTTTTTGATATTTGTATAATTTATGAAGGTCTTTAATTTAAGCAGTATCCTGGTCATGCAGCCTCGGATCCAGGGAGCAGGCACTATACGCAAGCGTCTCTTCTGATCGGCACGTGAAGGCGCCGCTGTAGAGTCCATCATAGGGCACCGATGGCGCTCTTCTATGGCGGTCATGGGAGGCGGCACGCATTTTGGTCGTGGGGGACGGGGACGGGGCTAGCCATGAAGGACTTGGTCATCCCTATATTCCAGAGCTTTTCACTTTAACCTCACAAACCATTGCGTGTCTTGTGGCGCTAGGTATGTGAAGTTAATTGCATCGTTTATCCGCTTAAATGCTACGATTTGTATCTTGTGGCGAGAGCAATCATGACTTTTTGTTGTAAGAGTGGTACGAGACGTCACTACGCAGAAATATCGAAGAAGATAGTCTTTGTGTTATGATTATCTTTTACCCACGTTTTTTCGCAGTGTTCCAGCCAAAAACATCAGGGGGAGGGGCAAGCCAGCATTGGGGGGAGGGGGGGGGGGGGCAACTCAACATTGCGGGGGGAAGGCAGGGCCCTCACAAAACAATTCAAATCGACACCCGTGCTGTCTTTGCTCCCCCAGTTCCAGCACCAGTTCGCGGTGTTGTAAATTCTAATCCGTCGCTATTATCAGTATAAAATGACAAAGGTAAAGGATATGCCTGACTGCCCTCTGAACGTAAGGACTGATGTCTTAAAATGTTCCTTGATGATGATCTCAGATGCAATATTATTTTCAACCGGCCATTGGCCGCCGCCTAGTGTACGTCATGGAACCGACGCCATGCGCTTTCGTGGCTGTGGGGACTGCAACGCCGGATACTCTGTTTCGTGTCTGGGAGTATCCATGCTCCGAACTGCCACATATTTTTTTTCTTTGAGCGATTCTGTCCGCAGGTTGAGAATTTCCAGACGAGCATGAATTGGCCATATTCATAAAGATTTGGGACCCCATTTAGATCTGCAACCTGCGATCACTGGGTCTTCAACATCCCTGCAGAACGCAGTGAAAATTTGACAAAGCCGTTGAGTTCCCTCAGTTTAGACGGAGCTTGCTAGACCAATGCAAATTATAGCGCAGATGGATTACTCCATGCCGACATCTTACGAGCGCTTCATTCAGTTTGTTGACTTCAAAATACAAACATAATTTCATCTTTCGGTAGTCTTTGACTTCTGTTGGGGGCGAGGAAGGTAAAAATGTAAATTTGACAAAGAAAATCCCGCACCTTAAACTACAATGGGCCACGTCCATGAATTTTTTAAGGAAAGCCTTTTCATCATTCAGATCCCTTTGTCAGCCCTGTGACCCCGCTCTTACCGGGGTTCTGAATGCCCCCTGCTTGTCCAATTAAGATAATTCGAGGGCCTGTACTGTTGCATCCCGATAGTCACTTGACACTTATTATGTAACCCAAATGGTTCCAGGCGTCCTTACAGCATAAAACGCCAATTATTATCAACCCCAAGCCAGCAAATAATCGGAGGAGACTTCGCAGCCGACCAGCGTCTGCGAGCCCCTACTGGCCACCTGCGCCGGCTGGCGTGCACCAATGGCGCGCCGGAAAACAGAACAGTCAGGCTAATGATCGTTCTCGGTTCAGTTCCGTCGAAAAGTTGGCGACGTCAGAGGCCAGCTGGCAAGACACAGGGCACTGACTTCGCTCCAACCAGCGCCACCGGGACGCGTCCCTGGCAAATCCCCGCTGTCGAAGCCCGCTCGCCTCAGGGCACGCGGCCGCAGGAATCCAAGGTGACGATGTGCTCCAGCATTTGGCCTCTGAAGGAACCAAGCCCTCCAAAGGGATGCCGCTTCGTCGCAAAGGTTGCGAGATCAACGCAGATGTCATCTGATAGGTGAGAACCGGACGCCGGTTGCTCATGCGCACGTGTGACGACGCCATCCCTCCGCACGTGGTCGGTGTAGCATATGGCCCCGTCCCACGCGAGCGGCCGCAAGTGTCGACGGCGCGCGTCCGAGGCTCGAGGGTGCTGATAGCCACGTGAAACGGAAAGTTATAAATGGGCAGCCGCCGGCCCGTCCGGAGCCTGAGCTGGGTCGCTGCGTCTCACATCGTTTGAAGGCGAGCCTAACCGCGCCGTGTTCCAAGATGATCCGGCTGCTGATTTTGGGAGCGGTACTGGCGGCGCCGTCTGGTGAGTGACACTTCCATGCGTAAGCGACGGGCAGATCGTGAAATCATGGTGCCATCTATGGCGCATATTCAGCCACATCAGTAAGGGGTTGTGCTGTCAAGCTATTGCTGCAAACTTAAAGGGAATGTTCCGCATTTGAAGATATTGAAAGAAGCATCATATATGGCGAAGTATGCTCGATTATAACCATTGGTATACCTTTAAACGGAAAGACTGCTCGAGACAACGACGTTTTTCTAATTAGTAAATATGCGCCTCAGTACGTCATTGTTTGATTGCGTCATCGTATCCGACACAGCATTGATTGACAGCCAGTTCACGGTCGTTCTATCTGGAGATCGTATCCAGCACAGCATTGATTGACAGCCAGTTCACGGTCGCTCTATCTGGAGATCGAATCCGGCACAGCAATGATTGACAGCCAGTTCACGGTCGTTATATCTGGAGATCGTATCCGGCACAGCATTAATTGACAGCCAGTTCACGGTCGTTCTATCTGGAGATCGTATCCAGCACAGCATTGATTGACAGCCAATTCACGGTCGTTATATCTGGAGATCGTATACGGCACAGCATTGATTGACAGCCAGTTCACGGTCGTTCTATCTGGAGATCGTATACGGTACAGCATTGATTGACAGCCAGTCCACGGCCGCTCTATCTGGAGATCGTATCCGGCACAGCATTGATTGACAGCCAGTTCACGGTCGTTATATCTGGAGATCGTATCCGGCACAGCATTGATTGACAGCCAGTTTACGGTCGTTCTATCTGGAGATCGTGCTCGCGATCACGAGATATTAACGACTCGACAGCTATATTGTTCTTTGTCTTGATCACCGTATGGCCAATGGAATGACAGGACTAAAATGTTATTATTACGGCGTCATGGGTGCCTGGGTGACCTTGCAATAGTCTGCACGGCAAAGTCCGGACATCTTTGCGGGCGTTTAGCTCAGAAGCTAGAGGGGTTCAGGTGTTAAGAAGGGCATGGATGGGAACTGCACCGGATGCTCTTCAGGATGGCTATTTCAGCTCAGAACCTCATGCAAATGTCGTACACTCCCTTTAAGTTAAACTATACGACATAGTATGGTCCTCTTTGCGTGTGTGGTTCTAGTATGGTCCTCTCTTCTGCCCATCATGTCTGCTCAGAAATACGGTCGGTTCATTTAAAATCACACAGTTTGGTTGTTTTGGAAAGTGTAGAACTTTTGGTTAGCTCGTCAGGATGTCTTAACACAATGCCGCTCTAGCAGCTGGCGTCGTCAGGAATGATCGATTTCACTTGGGGTGGGGGGGGGGGGGAGGGGGCAAATGGTAGCCTCTTCACTGAACTTTTGAAACTGCATTAAACCAAAGACCAGGACACGGACAGGACATGGACAGGGCACAACGCGGACTTTGTTTGCTCCACCCTAGACTTTCCACCGCCGATGCGTAACTCACTAAATTTAAGCAGGTTTTGTGGCAGGTAAATTGGCATTTCCGAGACTGCCCCTAAATACACTATTTTCGGTTGGGCAAGTGGCGCGCGTCTCTCGCACTGTCATGTGGTATGTGTTACAGACAGACAGACCTCAGCAGGATTACGGCGGGCAATATATGTCATGCCACGTCGGTATTAACGTGGATCCCCGTTCTAGCGAGTGTCCAGACGTGCCCAGGTACCGGCGGATGGCTGGCACTTCCGAACAAAGTGGACCTGAGCGACATCGCGTGCTACTGGGTCTCCGACTACGCCTCCAGCTGGGACGCAGCCAGTCACGCCTGCAAACAGATGTCGACCGCAAACCATCCAGTTGAACTGGCCAGCATCCACTCGATGTGGGAGAACGCCTTCGTCTTCGACAACGTCACCAACAAGCACACCGCCTGGCTGGGCCTCAACAAACGGGAACAGGACGACTGGCATTGGGAGGACAAGACGCGGGAGGACTTCCAGTTCTGGCTGGCCGAGTTCCCCGTCGACAATGACATGGAGTGTGCCACGTTCACCGACCAGCTAAACAGCCGCTGCGGGGAGTGGGTCAACGCCGATTGCGCCACCAACCTGTATTTTGTCTGCAAAACGCCGGCAGCAGCATAGGAAGAGAGCCCCACGTCATCGCGAGCCAGTCGGCAGAGGCTTGGGCCAGGACTTGGCCCGGCTTCGCCTGGAATCGTCCAACAGCCACGGTGTTCCACACAGCCAGCAATATCACGTGTCTGACAGCCGTCCCTTGTATGGTCTGTCGGGATGGAAGGCCATCGCCCCTGCGCGACCAGCCTGACGGTGTGTGTATCACGTCCACCACACAGCACTCTGGGAAACGTATCAGGGCTGCTGCGGATGCCGCACTTCCACTGGCGCGAATACGTTTACATCTCAACAATAAAGTCAACAAAAGGGCTCAACAGCATTCTTCGCTGGGCGGTTCTGCGTGCCAATACGTGATGTCAAGCAAAGTAGTGAACAGAGCGGCCCCGCCATGTGGCTTCTATATGGGACAACGTAACAAACAACCATGTTAAAACGAGCCTCTCCGCCGCCGGCGTTCCATCATGGCGCCGTCTCCGTGCTCCTCATCCTCGCGTTACCGGGTCGCCGCATCCCCTCGTCTGCGTCTCCATCATTCCATCATGACACCTTCTCCGTGCTCCCCATCCTCGCGTTACCGGGTCGCCGCGTCCCCTCGTCTGCGTCTCCATCATTCCATCATAACGCCGTCTCCATGCTCCCCATCCTCGTGTTACCGGGTCGCCGCGTCCCCTCGTCTGCGTCTCCATCATTCCATCATGACGCCGTCTCCATGCTCCTCATCCTCGCGTTACCGGGTCGCCGCGTCCCCTCGTCTGCGTCTCCATCATTCCATCATAACGCCGTCTCCATGCTCCCCATCCTCGCGTTACCGGGTCGCCGCGTCCCCTCGTCTGCGTCTCCATCATTCCATCATAACGCCGTCTCCATGCTCCTCATCCCCGTGTTACCGGGTCGCCGCCTCCCCTCGTCTGCGTCTCCATCATTCCATCATGACACCTTCTCCGTGCTCCTCATCCCCGTGTAACCGGGTCGCCGCATCCCCTCGTCTGCGTCTCCATCATTCCATCATGACACCTTCTCCATGCTCCTCATCCCCGTGTTGCCGGGTCGCCGCGTCCCCTCGTCTGCGTCTCCATCATTCCATCATAACGCCGTCTCCATGCTCCCCATCCTCGCGTTACCGGGTCGCCACGTCCCCTCGTCTGCGTCTCCATCATTCCATCATGACGCCGTCTCCATGCTCCCCATCCTCGCGTTACCGGGTCGCCACGCCCCCTCGTCTGCGTCTCCATCATTCCATCATGACACCTTCTCCGTGCTCCTCATCCCCGTGTTACCGGGTCGCCGCATCCCCTCGTCTGCGTCTCCATCATTCCATCATGACGCCGTCTCCATGCTCCTCATCCTCGCGTTACCGGGTCGCCACGTCCCCTCGTCTGCGTCTCCATCATTCCATCATGACGCCGTCTCCATGCTCCTCATCCTCGCGTTACCGGGTCGCTACGCCCCCTCGTCTGCGTCTCCATCATTCCATCATGACGCCGTCTCCATGCTCCTCATCCTCGTGTTACCGGGTCGCCACGCCCCCTCGTCTGCGTCTCCACCATTCCATCATAACGCCGTCTCCATGCTCCTCATCCTCATGTTACCGGGTCGCCGCATCCCCTCGTCTGCGTCTCCATCATTCCATCATAACGCCGTCTCCATGCTCCTCATCCTCGTGTTACCGGGTCGCCGCATCTCCTCGTCTGCGTCTCCATCATTCCATCATAACGCCGTCTCCATGCTCCCCATCCCCGTGTTACCGGGTCGCCGCGTCCCCTCGTCTGCGTCTCCATCATTCCATCATAACGCCGTCTCCATGCTCCCCATCCCCGTGTTACCGGGTCGCCGCGTCCCCTCGTCTGCGTCTCCATCATTCCATCATGACGCCGTCTCCATGCTCCTCATCCTCGCGTTACCGGGTCGCCGCATCCCCTCGTCTGCGTCTCCATCATTCCATCATAACGCCGTCTCCATGCTCCCCATCCCCGTGTTACCGGGTCGCGGCGTCCCCTCGTCTGCGTCTCCATCATTCCATCATGACACCTTCTCCGTGCTCCTCATCCTCGCGTTACCGGGTCGCCGCATCCCCTCGTCTGCGTCTCCATCATTCCATCATGACGCCGTCTCCATGCTCCTCATCCCCGTGTTACCGGGTCACCACGCCCCCTCGTCTGTGTCTCCATCATTCCATCATGACGCCGTCTCCATGCTCCTCATCCCCGTGTCACCGGGTCGCCACGCCCCCTCGTCTGTGTCTCCATCATTCCCTCATGATGCCTTCTCCATGCTCCTCATCCCTGTGTTACCGGGTCGCGACGCCCCCTCGTCCGCGTCTCCGTGTCGAGCTGATCCTGGTGGCTGAGGGGCTTACCGCGCGGGTTCGTCGGGACAGGCTTCTCAACAGGCCAACTTGATCAGAGTAGCCGTGGGCGCGGGGGAGGGGTAGGGTCCCACACAGATGTCTACGTGGCCCAGAGGCACGCGCCATGCCCCACAAATATTCCGTTCCTACCGCCCGACACCTTGTCTGGATCGCGACTCTGCACTGTCGCGCAGGGCAAGGCTAAAAGTACAGGTAAAGACGGATACTAGGGCGGAAACTAAAATAAAATAGGTACAGCTTACATTAACGAACTGACTACATTACAAGCGATAATTCACAACACGGAAACAGTTCACGTTCAAACTAAGTGTAAAGGCAACAGACCATCACTATAACACCCGATTACACAGGCAGAGCGGTCTGTCGCCAGCATGGCAAGGCGGGCGGCCTCTGCGAGTCTCGGCTCGGGGCGGCCAGCTGCACGCCGTGGCTGAAGAAGTCAAGGGGCGGCAACGCCGAACCGCGCCGAGGTCGAGGAGAGGTTCCCGGTGACACCTGGCCGTGTGGAAGGCGCTGCTTCCCCGCGCCAGGGTCGCTCCGGTGGTGACCACCTCCCAAGAGAACGTGGCGACATCCAACAATGGGGTTTCTGAGTGCGCAGGACGTTCCGGTGCCGAAATCCAACCGAACTTGTCCATAAGGTATTTTCATGGCTTATGCAAACCACAAAAGTAGCGAGCTTTGAAACGGAAAAAAACGCGTTTATCCCTGGACGGAACGGAGACCTCCCTTAACCTGGATCTTCGTTGGTCAGAGTAACGAGAGGTGTGGCTTTCGTCTTTTCACCGTTTCAGCAAAAAATCGTCTGTGACATCCTCTCGTGTGAAAAACACCGAGATGGAGGAATAAAAGTAGGGTTTGCGAGTGGAGAGTGAACAGGCGATGCTCGCAGCCTAAATTTATGTGTCAATGGTGTGTTATGGATGAGGATGACAACAAGATGTGCCAGTGTTCATCCGTGTAATACGCCATCTGACCAGACCTCGTCTCAAGAATTCGTCTCGGCCTATTTACTCCTTGGACACGCGCGACGTCAATGATATGAGACGAAGATACATTTCTTTCAAGGCGCATGTTTTGGGCCTTTTGCTGCATCTTCCACGGGGCGAATATGAGTCGTATGGGGGTCGACGGACAACAAAATAACTGTGCGAAACGTAAGCAGAACCACGTAATGATTTTTAGCGATATAATTTTTTACTTTTAGAACATGGGGAAAGTGCAGTGCAATCCTCTTTAAAAAAAAAACAGGTCTCAAATACATACACACTTGAAAAAGAGCGGATTGCCCGCTGCTGGGAGGCCTGCGGTCTAATCCCCACAATTCATGGCTTTTCGTATGCGTTTCGTACGCTCCGAATAAGCCGTGCGGCCCCCTCGCAACAGCTAGGCGAGACAGCTCAAGCGTCCAGACGTCATGCAGTATTGCAAACGATGAGAATGAAAGGATGCATTGTGATGCTGTCTTCTTTCAATATACTCTTAACAAAAAGATAATGTACCCTTTTCGAAGTTCTCTCGCAGGGCGAGTCATATAATTTAGGTTATATGGGCAACAGCAGAGGAACATCCATTCTGATTCACAAAAATCTTCTGAGTTACCTTCTTTTCCGATCCACATGTGATTGAAACAATCCTGTTTTCTTAGGAAGCAAAATTGGCGCAGATGCCTCGAGGGTATGTATGAGCCAAAAATAGATGAATCACATTTGTTGTGCTAGTTTAGACGATATTCTAACCAAACGCGGCTGCGACCGCGCTTTTCTTGGACAGAAGTTCAACTCTACTAGATATTCAGAAAGAGACATTAGCGAAGACAATGATAATACAAGAAAAAAGTTTCAGTTTACGATCAACACAGCCCCATAAATTTATGGAGGCATCGTGATCGTAACGAAAAGCGTCTCACAAAAGCAGATCAAATCAAAAATCGCACGAAAAGCAGATCAAATCAACTCCAAACAATGAAGCCAGACTGGCTATGCTTGCCGCTATTGACTTTTTGTCAAGTCTTTGCCATAACCTTCATGTGCTTCCTGATTATCGACCAGATCATAACATAATATCAATGAGTTTGCAAATCGGCGAATTGTAGAGGTCCCGGTTTACGACCATTTCATGAGGTGGACCTTAATGATGATGAATACCTAAATATTGTACACAACTGTATCGAGCAAACTATAGAGCAGCGCGCATTGCCTGTTTACTCCCCAAATTTCTTGGCGAACATTTATATTCATAAAGAAGTTCCAGTTATAACAAATTGTGATTTTATCTACGAAGCACTATTGATGATAATCCGTGGTGGAATTGTTAGGTTTTTCATACGAAAACCAGAGCGAATGAAGGAGAGAGAAATGAGACTCATCGCCCGCGTGGACAACGGCCATGCGGCATACTGGCGCACAAGATCGGAAGAGAAAACTTGCGAAAATGTAAAAAAGACAATGCAGGAAAGCCTCAAATCGATGGTGTGATCGCAAAGTCTAAAACCGCATGGCATGAACATAGTAAAAATTGTTCTCCAGCACGGTCTTGACTTGGAAAAAAGGGATGGAATGAAAAAAATCGCTGTCAGTTCTGGACGCTAGTGAACAGAAAATAACACACGCTTGTTCAATACTTAAAACCTTCTCTAAGATTCTGTCATACAAATGCAAAAAGATGCTCCACATGCTATTATCTTTAATAGTTTTCTCGATAAAAGCGTTATCAAATCATTAGATGCTGAAGAATGTACACATCAAGGTCAGCACTCGCACTACACACAGCACAGCAATCGTTCTTTGAAGAATTAACGGGATCATTTGGACGAAAAAAGGCAGATCACCTTGCCAGAATGGTTGCGCATTACTTGCTCATTCAAGCACTTTGGAAACAAATTAGGACCGTATCTGCAGAGTCTTTGCTTTCCACTCTCGGAATGATGTCCTTAAAGTCTCATAA